AGCAATTTCTTCGTTATGTATATACCAGATAATCGAATTTCACTCGAACGGAAAAAAATATCACATATATTCATGAAAACTCAGCCAAAAAAAGCCAAAATTTTCTTATTTCCTTCGCGTCTTGCCAATACTGAACCTTTTCACTCATGGTTTCTGAATGAGATAGAAAAGGTGCATTAAAAACCATTGAGTTCCAAACTCACAACCTGTTCTTTTCTGACACACAAGCTCTGGCACTGGAATGCATAATCCCGTTACGGTTCAAGCACCCACACATTGCGGAGAAATACTTGACGTGTCGTTTTCTTTTCTGCACACGAATGTTACGTTGATATGCTCGGGATAGGGAGCAATGTTGGATGATACCACACGGATAGTTTTATTGATGCAGCACCTCCTGTAAGGACTTGAGCAAGAAATCATTCGTTAATGGCTTCGGTCTGCCACAAAAGCTGTTCCCTCACCACTGGAAAGACTGGTGCGAAGTGAAAGCTAAAAATATAAACGGTGCTAATGAAACAAAAAGAAAGAAAAAAGTTGTCAAGAGGTCTTAGCTGTTCTAATAAATGAATGTAATATTCGGCCAAGTGTTCGTACTATCGAGGAATGTCATGCGCTTGTTAAGAATGATATTCTGAGCAATTACTGAGTAATTATAAGTTTCACGGGTGTTATCGCTAACTTTTGACAAAGTGCTGAACCACTGCGTGATAAATCCGTGGGCTATTTTTATCGCCTTTGTAAGTACCGCAGCCGACAAACACGAGACTTTCGCATTTCGGCGATTGATAGACGAGAAACACTGCAAAGGGGATTCTATGACGTCTTTTCGCAATTTTGTACGATTTGATGCCGGCAGAATGAAATTTGAAAACGAATATGTGAATATGAGGTGCACAGAAATTACACCATATCTTAACATATATACTAGAATTATGTGTATTTTGCAAATGTGATGCATAAATGTGACTTCGAAGCAAAACATAACTTTTCATACATTCTGTATTCTGTGAAGAATTTAACGAATACCACACACAGTTAATCAGTCAAATATCATTCAGCTGAGTTAAACGTGCTCTATATAAATGCACTGTATACTAGGGAAAAACTGAAAAAAAAAAGGCAGAGATACAGCCTACGAATCATCTGAAAGGATTGTGATCTAAAATATAAAACATTTAATGCTGATAGCTACGTGAACTACACTTGGAAGAATGAAATTACAAGTAATGATAAGCTTTAGACAATGTTTTGCATCATTAATCTTAGTACACAAGATCAAACAATTAAAACATCAACTGATGAGATAGCAGATGCAGCGTAAAGTGATGCACATTTTTCTGTGACCTATTTCTTTTATCATCACCTCTCCCTCACATAAAGAACATGAAATGTACCGCATAAGTAATATTGATGGTGTGCATTGTGGGATATAATACTCTGAAGATGTTAAACAGCACGATTGAAACCACTGTTGTACCGACGTTTCTGAATGCATCAAGATAACCGTAAACATGCCGGCTGCAAAAAAAAAAATTAAGACACTTATATACGGTTATATAAGGTGTGCTGTCAGGTCGCACAAAACTGAACAAAGAGGAATTTTCAAAAGTTACGCTCGGTACACACGCTATTCGCACAGCTGCACCACACGTGACAGACACCTGCCGAATGCAAGCGCAGGGTGAAAGAGCGTATCAGGGACGCTCTTCTGCCATCCGCTTGCGTGCGGCAACTGTCCCGGCACGTGTGCTGTTGCAGTAAAATTAAATTTGCAGAAGTCAGGTAAAAAGAGTTATGGGCAAATAACTTGACACATTTACTATATTCTTAATTTTCCTCTAAGGTCATCTTTTTTTCTCTAAGGCCATCATGCTATTACCAAACAGCAATAGGTAAAAGCGTGTAATCAGTCAGCGGAAAATGTACGCCAATTGGCGTGGCACAGATATATGAAAGATTTTGATACATAAATACGCAACTTTTAATAGAATATTTTCTACTTCTTAGCACTGTACGGAAATATGGTACGTTTTTTCTTGTGGTAGAGACACTCCTTTGTACGTCCCGTAATATGGCAAAATGAGTATGAAATATTTTCTCCTTTTGGCACAGTTATTGATTCGATGGCTTCAATCTCGGCCACATCCCCCGAGTTCGTAAGATTATGGGTAATAAAATTAACAACGACATGAAAGTCAGTATTATGAAAATGCATTAGACTACCGCATACGTAAGACTATACAACTAAACTAAGTATATCTAAATGACTACTACTCACAAGAAGACGAGTATTCCGTGCACAAAAGAATCTACTGGCACACCGCGAGGCGATTTACCTTCAAAGAAGGTCAGGAGAAGGTCAGATTTACCTTCGAAAAAAGTAAATATGACCTTGTTCGCGCTTGCACAACCTTAATCTGCAAAATCAGTAACAACCGCTAACTACATCTCCGAACCCGAGCCAGAATCTTCACTTGAGGCTAGTTTGTAAAGTTGAAGAAATCATCTTGACCTTCTCAAGAAGAGAGTTTCGCCGATCCTTTAAGACGCGTTCTGCTTGTAGCTGTTCACATTTTTTCTACGCAAATACTGCAACGACATTGTAGAAAATATAACCACCGCTTAAGTGAGCACGCTTAGAAAGACACTCGAATATATTCTGTAGATTATCCTACTTGTTCAGACACTCACAAACTCTATTGAATACTTTGCTTCGAACATCGTAAATTTTTTTTTTTTGTAGATACTCTCAAGAGAGGTTTCGCACTATGGCTTATTTAATGCACGATGACCAAATGATAATCTAACGTTTCACACACATTTTGTGGTTAACTATTTTGAATATACCAAGATGGTACTAAACTTAAAATTATGCAATGTTTATAAGGAGAGCTTGCTCGAATAAACTGCACTTTTACAGAGCAAAATAAGTGAAGACTTTCACCGTTGTTGAAAATGAGTGATCACTCCTGCAGATAAGTGATCTTAGGCTTTACGAGACAGTCAAATTAAGAGTGTTGCAGCTCACCTGATTTTAGCTGCGAAAAACGACAAATGTAGAGTAGGCCAAGACACTATATCCATACGTTTGAAACACTTCACTGGCTCGTTTGCTCGGAAAAAGCTGGTGTAACCAAGACGCGCCATACAGAGTAAAAGCCTGACCACACTCACTCGTTGTAGCACGTCAGCACGGGGCTTCTTGATACGATGCCGCACCATTTTTTTAATGAGATAGAGGGCGCGTAGCTACACGAAGTGCGGCGTCGCATCGAAATTCTGTGCGCTGACAGGCTGCAATGGGTGCATGTGGTTAGGCCTTAAAGGGGCCTCCAACACTTGAAAACACCGGTGTCAACTGCATAACCCGTAGTGGCGCTCGCCAGAACTACTGCGAGCGGAAATGATGTCGGAAGGTTGCCGCCATATGATTGGATAAATCTAACATTAAATTTGATCACGGCATTGAATCAAAATAGAGAGTATTATATATTGAATTAAATTTTTCATTAGTGTAATTTTTCACTCAAAGCGACAGAGAGTAAAGCTCTCCGAATTTTTCAGCTACAAAACTGCAAAGCTGGTCAAAGAATGCACCGAACGCCAAGTGCTGGAGGAAACGCGCCGGCGACGCTCCGGGCGCCATAATTTGAAGAAAATAAAAGAAAAAAATGTAAGAGCATTGATATATATGTGTAATCGCAAAAAGAAAGATCAGTAAAGCAACAAAACATTATAGAAGCGTTTGCGAGTGGGCTCGTTTGGCACGTGTCGTTCCCTCTTCAAGTACCACATTGCTTGTTACCATCGCAACGGCGTCCTTAATAGGCTGGACGTAACAAGCAATATGTCATGCGAGCTTCCTGTACGGTAGGGCTTTTAGTTCATTTTATTGGGCCCCCTTCCGACATCAGATGACGAGAGAGACACAGTGGTGAGCCCGCAAAAGTTGAGTTAAAGGTGAGCATTCATTTCATTGTATTTTGATATCTCTACGCTGAATAACTTTGCACTGCGTGGCCCTATCGCTGCCGTTCTTGTGGCACTTATCTCTTAAGCCATCAGCGTACGCAATTAGCTAAAAAACGTGTAAAACTATGAAGTCGTGAAAAGTGTTAGAGGGCCCCTTCAAGACTCAGTGTGACAGGGAACACCCCGTAGTTACGAACGACAAATACTCGAACGGGTCCCCGCTGAACTTGAGAGAGGCGAGTCAGAATATACAGCTACATGGTTGACTTGGAGATTGCACCCACTATTGCACTTACCGGAAACAAAAGCTCGTCCAGTCAGACGCGAGTATAGGACAAAACGGCCTGTGTAAACAATGTTTCCACAACTGGTTGCATACCATGCGTGTCTACCGACTTCTAATCACAATATTATACAATATCTTTGTTTATCGCACTATAAAGTACGTGCTTTTATGCAGCATGAATTTTCGCTGCAGCGGTGCAGCTATAGTAGAGCAACGTTACTATCCATTAGACCTTACAGGCCTCAAAAATTTCGCAAAGTTTGTAGAATACAAACTAGTTTATAATATGTCAGCCCAATTTTGACCCACTTTATCGGAAGACAAGTTAAAATCTCTACAGAGACTAGTGAATCAAACAAATAAAGCAGTAGTTCCAAGTAGGGAGATAGTTTGAACATCCCCAGTTTGATAGTAATAAAACTGAAAAGTAATTCTGCAATAAATATTCTTACTTGTTATATTAGAAGCCATCAACATCATTATCATCATTAATAAGAGTAGTCAGGCTGCTAATGATGATTACATGTAGCCGTATTCACGACTCGCCACTCATACCATTACTAAATGCACTCTGCAATGCCTGCTTGACTCTGCAGTCGCCTGATGATTACCGTTTTAATCTTCGGTTTGTGTCATGCACATACATTACTTGTTCAGTATCGTACTAAAACCAGCTTAAAACGAGCCTTCTGGCTGAAAAACTCTAATCACGGAGCCACTTTCATCCATCGTAAGTTTTTTTTTTTTTTCAAAGAGGGAAAGACGTTACGAATACTTTACGTGCTATATTTACACGTCGACAAACTCTTGGTTGAGAAGCACTTGCTGAGAAAAGTTGAGCCACCAAGAGAATGCCGTAGCACACGGCTAAAAAAATTTTGGTGGCAAAGAGCCACCTTTGTCCATAGAACACAGGAAAGACTTGAGTGCCAATGTTGGCTACGTAAAAAGAAAGCCGCTTGAGCCATTCTGAGTTAGTATAAATTCAATTTGTTTTCAAATTTATAAATCTATACGACAATTCTACAAGGATGCTTTTGGCGTGTGAAACTTTGTTAGCAGTCACGTGCTAGTTAAAATAATATGCAATAAACTGGAAGGCTTAATACGGCTGCAGTAGTAGTTGTTTGATTTCAAAAGTGAGACATGTGACTTCAAAATTGGCATTATTGTAGATCTACGTTTAAAAAAAGATTCAAATGTAAGCACCAAAAAATTTCGTGAAATTTGCCTTCCCTAATTCACTTGGAAGAATGCGATTCACACTTGTGACCGAACTCAATACTACTAATTTGCAAAGTTGTCACTCCTCTAGCAGTAAATCATAGAGAAAAGCTTCTATACAGAGGATAACACAAACATTATGTCACCTCAAGCTTTGCTACATCAGAGAAGATATTCGACGAAGCTCTGCAACAGAGCGTATACTCTGTCATATCTGTGGAGGTTCATTTATTAGGGCAGTGAAAGATTTCTGCTGTGCCATCGAACAGCCCAACCGCTCGACCAGTTCAACCCTTACCAGCAACGCCTCTAGTGAAAGAGGCCTTCAGCTTCGAAGGACTGCATACAGAATGCTAGCTTTTTCTCCTGCTTGATTTCATTAGTGTTTCGAAGGCGCAGCAGACGTGAGCTACCAACTAGCCGCAACTGGTCATCGTTGCTCCTTGAACACATATGCTACTAATTAAGCAGTTCCGTCTTACCCTCAATGATCAGGAACATCGATTGCATTCCCAACCAAACATAATTGATACTGCGCTTTCCTTCAGAAAGTGTATGGGTAAAGTACATGCCCATTTCTTCAAAGTTCTCACAATAAAGTTAAGAGATCTGCATAGCCTGTTGGGGACGTCCGTGGCGCTCCGTATGACTGGTGGACAGCAGTAGGTTCGGCGAATGCCTCGCAATTGGTAGCAACGATGAAATATAACATAACATTTCCTACTGGATGTTAGTACTCAGATCGGTCTGTCTTCATACAGCCGGGAATGTTGTACAATGTCGAACGTATATTCTGGATACTTGATTCAAGATGGAGGCTGTCGAGCGAAAGCTAAGTCTAACGAATGTGTGTCACCGTCACCTAATGTGAGCGATACCGAAAGATAGCCAAAGGTTTCTAGCACCGGTGACATTTCAATGTGTTCATAGAGAAAGCTACTTGTATAACATAATGAATACACCCTCAAGCAGATGTCTTGAACCACTGGTGTGACAAAAAACATTTCTTGTTCCATCACAGCCTAGTCATGGCTGTAATAGAAAATAAAATGAGACTACTGCAATGCACATATTTAACTTGTGCAATACATTAAAGGAATTCGACATTATGAGATTATGCTAGACGAAATTTTAAAACTTTAATGTTTATCATGGTCTCAAGACATTTGCTCGCGAACATACAAAAAGTGTTATCACAAGTATCTTCTCAAAGAAAATTATAAGCAAGAGGAAAAATGTCATAGCATTAGTATTCTGTAACTGGCAGGAACTGTTGTCCAAACATGTGATGCAGAAAGAATTCAAAGGTTGAGTACAATTACGCTGATGTTTCACAACGTCATCAAAAGAGCACTTCTCTATCAATACTGTCTCTATTCCGCCAGGTTATACACTTTGCCATTTTGCCTGCTGTGATTGGCTCACGTACCATCCACGTCCTCTTTGAATGGCTAAATTCACGAGCACAGCGGAATTCAACGATATGCAACCAGAAGCACTCAGTGAGCCACTGAACACTGAAACAGACGGCATCGAATTCGAATGTTCTGCTTTTGAAAACTTGCACCACCCTTAGGAAAACATGCTTTCAAGCACACTCAAGGTGGCACAAGACGGCGCAGATCTTTAAATGAAATAAAGGAAGAAAAAAAGTACATTGCTGGATGACGACCTCAGTATGCCTAATTACCTCAAAGGCATTAATCACGTATGATCATGTAAGATGGCACGTACAACACATACGGATATTCAGGCAAAATTACTGAACACATGTTATACATGACATTTCATTGATAACGCTGACAATCCCATTGTGGTGTCAAGGCTTGCGAGATTTCATGTGCCTACCAGATTTCAGCGTACATGCTCAATGCATTTTCCCTCCCACTAGAAGCTGTTGCACAATGCTTGCGGAACGGCTCCAACGAAATGCACATTCCCACCACAGAGGAGATAGACACGTAGTTCGAATCCCTCGTGGTTGCGTTCAGAGTGTTTTGTTACACTTGCCCAGTCAGTGACAGCAGGCAGTTTCCTGTTGAGCCCGCTACCTGACACGAAATGACAACCCCACGATTACACCTATATACACGTCATGGAGGATGTGTCGTACCCACGAGGTCTTTGGTAACCTTTGGGGTAACCCTTGGCTACCAAGGTTGGTGACCTTTCGTAACCCCTGGCCCCAACAAGGTCGTTGGTAACCCTTCACAGGTCAGCCAAGAAGATATGCCCTATTCGCGCTCCACGAGACACCCGCGGGGACTTTTGTTTGGAACGTCCAGTAAACCACAAGACCTGAACCACCCATTCGAAAGGTCTTTCCTTTACAGAGCACCGCAATGACATCGAGATAAGCATCTTCCCTACTCTTTGGAATCGTAACCAACTAAAATTCGTTGGATATCTGAGCACTCTCGCCGCGGTTAAGTACAACACAAAGGTATATACCTAGGTCTTCTTCCTTATGTGCCCACCGAAAATTTCCTAGACAAAATCCTCGCCGACTAGTAGCGGCGGAGGCGGTTTGTAGAGGATGCTGACTGGCCGAGAAGCCACGGGTTGTGGCATCGGCTGCGGCTCGGACCCCTGTGGAGTCGCTGGCTCCTGCTGGATGCCGCCTTCCATAGTGGCGGTGGCACTCGCATTGACATGTGGCGTGTGCCACATTCTCTCCATGGGTTTTCGCTTCATCTGGAGCACGTTTGTGTAGTCTTTGATGAGGCCGGCAATCTGCAATGCCTACAAAAAAAGTGAGAAATACAAAAATATAGAAAACGATTCAGATAGAGAGAAAGATGAAACAAGAAAAGCACGGAGGTTGGCCGAAAGGGTTTTGCCTGTGGACCGCTGCTATACACTGGCACACGAAAAGGGCATCATGTCCCCACATAAATGTTGAAATGTGAGTGGCCATGATAACGCAGTGCCCGGTCAAAAATAGTCAAATTTGCAAAGTCACATGGCCATTTGAAAGCAAAAATCCATGCATGCGTTATTGGAACCATCGAAACTTCTGTCAGTCAACTGCGTACCTGTAGGTCCCGGCATCGAATCCCAACTTCAATGGCTGTATTTTGGTGGAGGGAATAAGCTAGAGGACTGTGTACTAATATTTAGGTTCACATTGAAGAACCACAGGTGGTGAAAAGTTTTGGAGTCTTATTACGGCATCTCTCATAACTATATTTCAAAAACGCAGAACTAAAACAATTATCATAAAAATTCTGTCAGCTGCTGTTTCCCAATTCTTGATCCATTCCCCTAATAGAGTGCGTGGATCATTATTATTAGAAGCGAAGCTCCCTTTAATCTAACCTTGTCCTGCGTCAGGCGTAACAGGCATTATCTCCCGAATAGTATAATAGATGACGCTTTCTTATCACCACTTCTCGTCTCAATTCATAGACGGTTTTGGCCTGATAGAAGTGTGTGCAATAGAAAGAATGGACGCATGAATGGACGAATCGGCGAAAGCATGGATGAACGGAAGCACGAACGAATGGACAGATGGATGCACAAACACTTCACCCACTCATAATTATTCACTGTGTAGATATGATGCGATTTTGTATTATTATTATTATTATTATTATTATTATTATTATTATTATTATTATTATTATTAGTAGTAGTAGTAGTAGTAGTAGTAGTAATATTTTCATCAGTTCTGTGCTGTTTGATACCTCTTAAAGTTGTGCATTACTAAGACGAGAAACACGCACACACGATGCGAGAAAGTGTCACAAGAAGGCTTTAAGCGTACCTGATTGGTAGTGAATATGTACTTGGCACCCTTTTTACCGCCTCCAGTGACAATCATGAGGCTATTTAGGGATGGACTGTAGTTTACGATGCTTTCAGTATTCACAGGCGCACAGCACATTCTGAAAGGCAAAAATGAAAGAGCCAATACACCACAAAATAGAGTATCAATTGAGTATCTCGTTCATATTGAAACACTTTGTGAAGTTACACAGACAGTTTCCTCAAAAGTATCAGGCGAAGATTATTGCTAGCATGATATTGCTCATACTGTGCTTAGTTCTACACAGATAAAAGTCGTAAAGTATTGACATGAATTGCATAAAAATGGAAGCTTGAGCGAGTTGGTATGCATTCATCTTGGTTGACAGACGCACATGAGACCAGTGACGTTCCATACTATGCCGAAGAATTCCCATTCAGAGACAAAAAATATCCCTATTTCGAGAATTGTATCCTGCAAACACTGAAGAAATTGCCAGCATATTTCCCTACACAACCGTACCAATTTTTGTCCCCATCCACGCACACACATACCATAATTGCGCATGTCTCACGTACTGGCAACTTTTGAAATCATGACTAGCCCCTCCACTACGGCACAACAAAACATGCCCGGCCCATCTCCATTTCTTCTTCTTGATTTCAGCTATGATATCCCTAACCTCTGTTTGTTCCCTAATCCACTCTGCTCTCTTCTTGTCTTTTAAGGTTACACCTACCATTTTTCTTTCCATTGCTCGCTGCGTCGTCCTCAATTTAAGCTGAACCCTCTTTGTAAGTCTCCAGGTATCTGCTCCGTAGCTAAGTACCGGCAAGATACAACTGTTATATACCTTCTTCTTAAGGGATAGTGGCAATCTACCTGTCATAATTTGAGAGTGCTTGCCAAATGTGCTCCACCCCATTCTTCCAGTTACTTCAATCTCGTGGTTCGGATCCGCGGTTATTACCTGCCCGAAGTAGACATAGTCTTTTACAACTTGAAGTTCACTACTGTCTATCTCGAAGCGCTGCTCTCTTCCGAGGTTGTTGTACATTACTTTCGTTTTATGCAGATTAATTTTAAGACCCACTTTTCTGCTCTCCTTGTATAACTCCGTAATCATGAGTTGCAATTCGTCCCCTGAGTTACTCAGCAATGCAATGTCATCGGCGAAGCACAGGTTACTAAGGTACTCTCCATTAACTCTTATCCCTAACTGTTCCCATTCTAGGCTTCTGAAAACCTCCTGTAAGCACGCGGTAAATAGAATTGGGGAGATTGTGTCCCCCTGCCTTACACCCTTCTTGATTGGTATTCTGTTGCTTTCTTTAAGAAGCACTATGGTAGCAGTTGATCCCCTGTAGATTTCTTCCAGGATGTTTATATACGCTTTATCGACGCCGTGATTCCGCAGTGTCTGCATGACGGCTGATATTTCTACTGAATCAAACGCCTTTTCGTAATCTATGAAGGCTATGTATAGTGGTTGGTTATACTCTGAGCATTGCTCTATTACTTGATTGATAGTATGAATGTGGTCGATTGTTGAGTAGCCTGTTCGAAATCCTGCTTGTTCCTTTGGTTGATTGAATTCTAATGTTTTCTTTACTCTGTTAGCAATCACCTTTGTAAATAGCTTGTATACTACAGAGAGCAAGCTAATCGGCCTGTAATTCTTCAAGTCCTCGACATCTCCTTTCTTATGTATTAAGATGATGTTAGCGTTCTTTCAAGACTCTGGTACTCTTCCTGTCAGGAGACACCTCGTAAACAGGATGGCTAGTTTTTCTAACACAATCTGTCCTGCATCTTTCAGCAGATCTGATGTTATCTGATCCTCACCAGCAGCTTTGCCTCTTTGCATGCTCTCCAAAGCTTTTCTGACTTCTTCTATCATTACTGGTGGGGTGTCATCTGGGTTACTGCTAGTTCTTATGATATTAAGGTCGTGGTTGTCCCGGCTACTGTACAGATCTCTGTAAAACTCCTCCGCTATTTTAACTATCCTATCCATATTGGTGGTTATTTTGCCTTCTTTGTCCTTTAGAGCATACGTCCGATTTTTGCCTATCCCAAGTTTCCTCTTCACTGCTTTGACGCTTCCTCCGTTTTTCAGAGCATGTTCAATTCGCTCCATGTTATACCTTCTTACATCGTATACCTTCCGCCTATTAACCAACTTCGAAAGCTCTGCCAGTTCTATTTTGTCTGTTGTACTTGAGACTTTCATGATTTGACGCTTCCTAATGAGATTCTTCGTTTCCTAGGAAAGCTTGCAAGTGTCCTGTCTGACTACCCTGACTCCAACTTCCACTGCACACTCCGTAATGATAGAAGTGGTCGTCATAGAAGAATTTAATTATTCCTGAAATTCCCTGCAATAGCACAGAAATTCCCTTTTTCCCTTTGGCTCAAAATGACAGGAGCAAATTCCCCCAAAAAGGAAAAATTCTCTGCGCGGAACATCACTGCACGAGACGAGAATGAAAGAAATGAACACAGACAAGTGCTGTGTTCATTTCATATTGACATTAACTTAAACTCTATATACTTGGAAACTAAGATTATGGAGTAGAAAAATAACCGCAGGCTTGGAAGTAAAAAAACACACATGCATGCACACACACACACAACCACACTTGCCTCAATGTTTGTTGCATTGTACAAGAACTCTAGATTAACTAAACCTAATGATTGACGAGAATTTTGTAGCTTCAGAAACTGCACAAATCTCAATAAAAACAGGAAATATTTTGACTTTTTACAGTTACGAATGTTTTTTTCTGCATTGAATGAACCTAAATAGTGTTTCCTGCTAACACACCAAAATGTTATTGTTTTTAAATGTCAGAGGTCACTATACATTTTTATTCTTACCCGTGTGCGAAGCTCAAGCAAGTGTACGCCATTCTGGTCAACGGCAAACCACAATGTCTTAGGCCAGGACGATGTGTAGGATTGCTGAAAGTGAACGAAACAAATCTATGATAGATAGCCGAACCACGACCGAACCACGAGGACATCATTCTTTCGTGCGTTCCAGAATCGAGAGCCCACACAAGTGTAAGCCTGCGGTAAAAAGAACCTTCTAAATAAAACGGCCATATAGCATATGCTACCATTGCATGTAGTTTCACTTTCAAAAACTTTTCCTCTATATGTCTCACTCCTCCTGATGGCGAGCAGCAATTAAAGAACAGGAAATAGAAAATACAAAATTGTAAAAACACAAATGTGTCAATAATTGTGCTTGTTCTCACAGTGTTATTTTTAAAAGGATAATAAAAAACGAAGTGCCTCTAAAGTGATAGTGCATATTTTGCATAGTGCAAACAAAAGAATACACAGCACAACGCAATAGAAATTATATTACATAGGCATGCAGCTTCTCTACAAACATTCAGTGTAAAAGAATGGCGTGTTTTGTTCGGACAACATCGATAGGTTGTACTATTTTGACGTCCATGTAACATGACATTGTCACATAATGCCATCTTTCTGTCACGCAAGTTTTCATGTCATCACTTGGCATTGCCGGCACTCGCCGGATATCTTACTTTGTGGGTCGTATGACGTTTTCACGTTAATATGCGACTGCCATGACTTGCTAACTTAACAGGTTACGTTAGTGCGATGTGTGTGGGACTGACCGTGACTTCGAAGATGGTGGCTCGGTGCAGGGGCCACGACTGAAGCAAGGCGAGGAAGGCGCGTTTGCTCTCCTGCACATTCATGCCGGCTAAAGCCTGGTGCTGTGTCACCACATGGTCAGCCGAGATCATCTTGAGCAGCCGCATGGGAAGACACTGGGCCATCACTTTTCTGAAAGCGCAAATTCGTTCACATGTCACTTATGCCCCCTGCTTCTTAGGTAAAATTAATCTTCTGAACTTGGGCGATAGACTGTAATATTAGGGTATGGAACTTGCCTATAGTCAACAATTGCCTCCCGGAAGTCCCCGTAATCCAGTTGGGCCTTGAGGGCGCACAGGGTAACCTAGTAACACCACAAGCAGGCAAAGCAAAAATTTAAGTGTACAATATACACTGAGTGATTACTGAAGCTTAGGAAGGCCACGGTGATACTACACTCTGTGTGACGCCACGGTTGATTTACAGAGTGTAAATGTATTCGTCTCCTATTGATTGATTGACCGATTGATTGGTTGGTTGATTTGTTCAAAGCAAAGTTGTTACAATTTTCCTTGGGGAACATGACTAAAGGCTGAGTAACGCCTGACTAGGTTGTGCTGCCCTGGCAGCAAAGCACAAGAAATACATCAATAAGCATTTACAGTACAGAATGCACGTGTACATAATAATCTACAATGGTTCCAAGATTAAACATAATTATGAGTTGAGTGCACAAAATATAAACACAGCTGTCTTTAGTGGTATCAACCAAAACTCGTAATCAATTTCAGACAAAAAATAATTAAAAGCTTCTTGCAGCTATAGCAAGAGAGCTGCACAAAAATATGAACAACACTCACTGGAGTGCTAAACCTCCTATCGCTCCCTACATTCCAGTAAGACTTGATTTCAAGGTGCGGCCGCCCTTGAAACTATAGCTTGCAGCATGCCACTCTAAACCCCATCCCCGCATTCCCCCCAAACTTGAGAAGAAAGTGCAGACTCCATCTTAGACTTAAGATTACAAGGTGCAGCGACTGTTGCAACAAGGACTTGCTGCATTCCACTAACATCCCCACATCCCCATCTCAGCAGCCCCACATTCCCATTCATCCCCCACCTCAGCTTCTCTCCATCCAACATCTGCACGTCCCATAACTCCATTAAAAGGGTACTGTCACCATCTCAAACTTCTAATGCAACATTCTGCAATAGTGCCCTGACAACAGTATAGAAGTAAAGTTACAAAGGCACGCAGCTTACTTGTAAGCATTGTGTGTAAAAGTATGAGGTTATTCAGGAAGAAATGTCACTGAAAACACCTATATCATGTATAACCTACTTGTGTGTAAAAGTATGAGGTTATTCAGGAAGAAACACTTGTTTGCAGACAAATACAAAAAGTTGTAGTACTCACGGCTTCGTGCTCCGTCACAGGAAACCTGTCCAGGCGGATGTTGTAGACAAGCTGATGGAACAGCAGCTCTTCCTCAACGGGATCGCTCAAGTCTATGTAGGCGTCAAGCATCAGGTGTTTCTACGTTTGCATACATAGTGATTAGTATGAACGTTTTGTTATTAAGAAGCTTGCACATCGGCTGCAACATCAACAACGAAATGAAGGTCCCTTGTATTCCTAAATTACCTTGAAAAGGAAGTACTGTTGCTTATTGGCTTTCGCGGTGCCCTGCTGGCTTTGAGCCCAGCGTTCCCACTTGGACATTGCGTCAGCCATCTTCTCGTCTGGCAGCATGGCTCGCTCTAAAGAAAAAGAACATTGAGAAGGTGTCGAATGTATCCATATATAAAGAATTTATACCAGCTGACATTACTAGAAGAGTGAATATTATAGCAATTTAACTATAAAATTTGTCGATGACCGGCAAACTATGAGTCATGCTTCGGTGTCTGTATAAGAATTTCTTTAACAAAACAGAAAGCATTTTTTTTAATCTGAACAATATTCGCATGCTGACAAGGAATTTAATTTTTTTTCTTCTGCTAGTTGGTGACAAGACTCTTATAGTAATTATAGTATGGCTTTACCATGGTCTCTTCAACAGCATACCACTGCATTGTGCGAAGCTGAGGACGCCTGATGCCGGGCACAAAACACGCATGAATGCACAGGGGGCTTACCTGTTGGTCCGATGACCTCATAAATGGCGTATCCTTCGGCTGTGGGCCTCAGGTTGATGCGAGTTTTGAGCATGGTAAGCATCTGAAGAAGAATATAACAAGACATTTGCATCAAGCTTCGCAGTGCTGCGAACCAGGCTACGATGATTTAGTGAGAAAAGCCCCCTGGGTGATAATATGCACCCTGCGTACCATGCAGCATAGAGTTTCATAATAGTACGCTAAGGGTCAATCTAGTGCTATGAACACTATTATCTATGCAAGCTGCAGTGTATGGCGCTTCAGGCAGCATCAAAACAATGAGTAGTAGTACTTGGATAAGTAGTAGTACTTTGCTCTCCCAGCTCCGGGTGGCCTGCTGCCGCTTTGTCGGTAGACGAAGTGCAGCAAAAGTTTAGTGGTCGCACTTCGATATCGTGACTCTTTGAGGCTCACCAATCAAAGTCATCTGATGAAGTTTACAAAGAGCCATTCTTTTATCCGAAACAAGTGTCAAATTACAATAGTAAAAGCCACAAATGCGTTCGAAGCCTCAAGCAGACTATAGAAAAATTTGTACCACTCATCATTCTCATGGTGGCTGTTAGATCATAGTGCCACAGTTCCACCTGGCAAATGTTGCAGGAAACTATATCATGTATAACCTATTGGTAGTTTACTCTGACGTAGTAGGCCAAAGCAAACTGTAGCTCAGGCCAACCTTTCCGTAAATAAATTATCTCTCTCTACTCTGATGTCACTGAAAACACCATTTTGAAGCACCACATGAAGAACCGCAAAGCTTGTGGTGTTACATTGATGTTATTAAAGCGTCACATGCATGTTCATTCGTTATTCACACACTAAGGCGTTCCTGTCACATTGCATCACACTGAAGCAGGTAAAACGCAACTTGTTGCTCATCATACTCGCCATATGAGAGTGCCACTATACATTCGGAAGTTTACCCACGACATCACAAGAAAGCTATCTATGGTTTCCGAATCGCGCTAAGCGGCCCGACTGCTCACTCACCTCTGCAGCCGACACGCAGGGGTCGAAGTCGACGTTCTGCACTTGTCCATCGAGGAAGTGCACCTTGGAGCGGCACGGGTGCCGCCGTGTGGTGCATGAAACCTCGTCCCGTGATGGTGGCCACCGTCGTCCTCGGGTCTCAAGCGTGCGCATCAGACACTGCATAGCACACGACAGAAAGTGAGCGAGGAAGCTTAGAAAGACATCAATAGATATAATGAATAGCCAAACTCATGTGAGTAGAAGCAATGTGGTTGTAATTGTATATGTCAGTAAAGTTTTACAAGGTTTCGCAACAAATGATCGTACAGAGTTATTTGCATCGATAGTGGTGTACAGAAAGACCCTGTACGTTCTATCACATTGCTACATGCATGTTGACATTTTGTGAGACAATGCACGCGTGTGCCGGACGAAGAGGAGGAAGAGTGGTCTCCGCTCGGTATCTGGTAAACTGGTCACGCCGCTACTGCTGGTAACCAGCAGCAGAGGAGTGACCGGTTTACCAGAGACCACTCTTCGTCCTCTTCGTCCGGCACACGCGTGCATTGTCTCACAAAATGTCAACATGCATGTAGCAATATTGACCCAGGCTTATCTCGAGCATTAGGGCGATCTTTGCCCAACATTGACAAACATTGGCCAGAATATTGGTCCTATACTGGCATTTCTAGTCTTGATACACCGAGAACTAAAGGGTTGTTCAGTGAGATAAACAGCGTCCAAGTCAGTCGTATCAATGATGGTAAGTCTAAGGTTTCAGTGAAATTGTGCTATCATGAGCATCATGGCAAGGAAAGCAAAGGGCCTGCTCCCTGCCTGAATTTTCGATGTAGGCAATGTTTTACTAAAAATAATAAAGGGGTCTTTTTTTATAACAGTCCAAGACCTTCAGCAAGCACCCCCTCCTCCATCCCACTTGAAAAAAGTTTCTTGCTACTGCCCTGGTACATGGGTGTTGCTGCGGCAGTAATCACCCGGAATCGAACCTACGCCCACAAGCTTCCAGGGGTTCGTGGCTGTCTGCCCCAAGGAATGCCCTCAGTGACTGCTTGGGCACTAGAATTACGTTTATTATTCGAATCAAACTTGAGCGATTAGGCAACACTGCAGCAAAACTCCCAGCTCCACTCCATGGCTTCAGAGAGGCACGTGACGTGTGCACGAACATTTCCGGTGACAGTCTGCAGGCCACCTCTGCATGGCTATCCACAATCCCTTCTTATAGCCTGTTTCTGGCACGTGGCACATGCACACGGCCAAAGGATCACGCCTTATGTCACAGCCTTGAGAGGCGATGAGGTTTATCAGCGGTGATTACCGCAAGCTTGACAGCCCAACACATGAGCCACTAATGCTAGCATGGCGGTTTAACCTTTTCAGTAGCCACCTTTGAAGAACGGCCTGTAATAGTGTCAAATAACTACAATGCTATTTCAAAGCAATCAATATTCTATTGTAAAAAGAATATTGAGATAATTGTTGAACTTAGGTGCATTATAGTAACTCAGCTTAATTAAGTTTTAATTAAATATCTTTTTAACCTGAAGTCATTGATGCTTACTTTTGGCATAAACAGAATGAAATTTTAGCGAGGAACATAGAGCAGATTAATTTTCGATTATGTCCATATTGAGCAAAGAAAAATTCTCTTTTTAACATGTATTGCTGGCAGGAAGCGGCACGTCGCACGGCTCGTCGAACGTGATAGTGCCTTAAAAGTGATCATATGAAACAGTACACTGAAAAATCAAGTTAAATAAAGAGTATTATGCAGCAAGTTTAATTCACCCAACTTACGATATATATTGCTCATTCTTAGCCTCTACTTGATGCGAATTGCAAAAACGAGTGGTGTACACAATTGTGTACATAGCGTCTCAAAAGGTTAAGAGTTGCCCCAGCAAGCGCGGCCAAGTGAGTCGCGCTAAAAACGGCATCAGATTAGATTTCAGGATGATCGGACACCCGCATACAGCATGATGCGGTTGTTGGAGTATACTGTTGAATGCGGTTGCGATTGCTTTAAAACGCGCACTTTCATGATAAGATCTGCATTTGTATTACCTTGAGCGCGAACTGCGCGAACTGTCCTTCCTCGGTGACCACGTCCATAGCGCAGTGCCGCAGGTGCGCATGCAGGTATCCCAAAATGCGTCGGTCCGTGGGAGCAGCCACGCTGCACAGCAGTGACAGCAGCTGCCAGTGGCGCACGTTCACCCTGCTGTTAGGGTCTGTGCACAGCAGCAACGGGTCACGTCATGGCATAGTGGTATGATTATTAGCATGTTATTGAATGAATACTCTGATTCTGGTACGCATGCACATGTCGGAATCAGATTCATGTTCTTCCAATGATTACAGATTCCGTATTATTTAATCCAGTGCAAAATACAGGACAAGAAGTGGACACTTGTCCTGGTTTTTGCGCTGCTTTACATAAAATATGAAACTGTACCAGCTAGCCTAGATGTCGACCTTGCTACGTTCAAAGATTTGCATGCAGAAAATGTTTAGACGCTTAAGCATCACCAGAAGAAAGACAAAGTACAAGAAAAGGGCATCACTTAGAACTTGAATTGATGAGTTGCGAGTGACTCTCTTTTGCAGAAGCGTACCAAGTTGGGCTGGTTTGTTGACTACCGAACTAGCGCACGCGTGAATTTGAGCCCATTCCATCTTCCTCAATTCTCCTTGTCTTGATGCCCTTAAACCATTATGCGATGAAGCTCGTTTCTTTTACGTCGTGGTTCTTCTGGTGATGCTTAGGATTCCAAACTTCCTCCTCCAAGTTATATAACAAATACTTTAGCAACGTGTTCCTTCTAGAGATGAGTAGATTATGTTATACGCTTCTACAAACTTTCCGTGAAATAAGTGGCTGACGCGAAGCGATTGACAAAAAGATTTTCCAGGTTCTAGTGATGTAAGAGATCTCCGAGGAGAACACTTCAGATCAAGAGACGATGATTGATAGCAGTAGAAATGGAATACAAAAAACTACAAAAACTGAGCCTCATTATTTAATCAGCCCTAAATACTGCAGAAAACAATTCCTATACCCTTTTAGTATGCACTGAAAAGATTTGATTATAGGCCTTTTAAAAGTTTACGGGAATCTGGTAATGATTATTGTTACGGTATTACGTTCCAAAGCCATGATGTGATCATCAGCGAGGCCCTAGTGGCGGGCCGCCTGACGTTCCTTGTCGTGCACCTAAATATAAGCCCTCGGGCCTCAAACATTTTGCTTCCATCGAAATGCGGCCACCGCGGCCGGGATTCGATTACACATCCTTCGGATTAGATAGGCTGCGCCATGCCTGTGAGTCATGCACACATGGCTTCTTTTATTTTATGTCCCCATTTAGCTTCCAACGTCTCAGTTTGCAGACTAATATTATTATCTGGAGTTTTACGTGCCAAAACTACAATGAGAGGCACCATGGCGGAGGGCTTCGGAAATTTTGACCATCGTTGTTATTTAACGTGCGCTGACATCACATAGCGCACAAGCCTCTAGGGTTTCGCCTCTAGCGTTTCGCCTGTATTGAAACATGATCGCCGCGGCCTAGATCGAACCTGCGACCTTAAGGTCACCAGACGAGCTCCGTAACCACTGCACCACAGCAGCGGACTGGTTCACAAATTGGACTAGGACTAGTTAACCTCGTTACCCACGACTTTTTCCTCGCCAGTCTCCAAAGTACTTGTTAATTACATTAACGAGCATGGTGTCATGCTCACACAGGCGTGGCTAAAAATGTCTCACTTAATAAGAGCGAACACGGCTGTCACAAGTTACAACGCTGCTGAGACAAACAGCAGAAAGACCTTTATAAGCCCGTTTCCTGAATAAAAATGTTCACTTAATAGCGCTGTGTCCTCTCATATGTGTGCCTTAGGAAGTTTTTTCATTATTTCACACTGAAGCAAAGAACAAACAGAAGTCATCGTTCTTTTAGTCAACTGCTAGGACGACGATGCGTGGAGTAGTGATCCTGGAGTACAAGGAGCCAAACGCTCCACCTGCACTCCCTTCCACCCGAAGGAGTCGCCCGATTACCTGTCTTAGAGCTACTGTATATGCTGCCTTTAGGTAAAGTTAACCGATACAGTAAGTCTAGCCTACTTACACAACTGCCACCTCCTGAGCACGTGCGCTAGCATCACACCCTTTCTGCCTCCCACTTACCAGGGTGGTCAGTGGTCTGCTTGATCAGCTGTATGAAGAGTTCGTTGAGCAGTACTTCGCGCACCATGCAGCACTCGATGATGGACTGTGCCAGCTGGATCAAATCACGCTGGCCGTGCCACTCGGTGTCCTCTGCGCAATAAATATCCACCACACGATACATCACTCACTGACCTACTCGAAGTCGCCCAATGAAAAAAAAATGAGGCAAGTAGAAACTATTGGTGCGAAGAATGAAAGAACAGCGGAGCTGGTGGCCTTTCTCTCCCCCTTTCCTGATTCATCACTCTCAGTTCTCTTTCCCACCCCAAACCGTACTATGCTATACGTCACTCTTTACCCTCTCCTCTCTTAATTTCCCTCATCTTCACCCCAAGCAACCTTGGCCGACTGCCAACCATTGGCAAATGGCTGGCATGTAGTCAGCAGCCGACTTCACTGGCCCCCAGACATTCGAAAAAGGTCGGCTCGAGGTGCACTGCCGGTTACGTCGGCACTTGGTCGGCAGCGTAGTTCGAGCCTACGTCGGCGGCCGAGTGAACGCCGATCGTGCCAAACACTCGTTGGGGTGACCAGTCGGCAACAGATTGTCGATGACGTGGTTCGGCCTTAGTTGCGGAATGAGCATAGTAAAGCAACATGCATTTATTTAGGCTGGCATAAAATTTATTGTTGAGTGATTTTAATTAATTTTCTCTGTGTATACTTAGACATATCTGAAGAGGCCTTGAGAAGGAAGTTGAAGAAGTTGACGTTCGGGCGTGAGTCGTACTGTGGTTTACGACTGAATTAGTATTATTTCCACGTAACAATATAAATACCATTGTGTTTTCTTTAACATTCAGATGCATTACATGGTAGAGAGTGAGATACAATACACCTGTGGTCTCAAGCTCAATTACTTTAATTGGCAGAGAGTACTTGTGTGACAATGTAATTACATTATAGACGAGATAACAATAATATGAGTAATTTATTTCATACATGGTTATGGTGGGTGAGCTTATCCACCTTGAGAAATTTTGGGGCACCATCATTTGCCAAGAGGGCAACAAATATATTGTTACGGTTGAATAAAGGATGATTGGGTTTATTTGCAACGTGAGCATGAGATTGGGCAATCGGAAGTAAAGATGGAGTCTTGTCTTGTCTTGTCTTGTCTCCTAGGAGATCCTCAGACCATACCAGACAATGCGGTCTTCCTCTTTCACATCACCGACACATACCACAGTCCGGCTCATACATAGCAAAATAAACAAATAAATAAATAATTATGTGTGTGTGTGTGCATGTGTGTTCAACTACGTTAACAGTAGATTCTTATAAGAAAAGTGGCTGAAGAAACGGTGCATTTCTGCCTCAAATATTTGGTTGCATAAATATTAGATCGCTAGCGTAAGCAAATTTGACTCATACAATGCATTTATGTCATTTATAGGCTAAAAGCATGGGAAAAGTACAGAGAAGCCAAGGTGGTGGTGGCAATGATTGGAAGAAGAAGGCGCTTAACCAATACACTTTCTTGGTCAATCCCCCTGGGTGGGTGTGAGCCATCAGTCCAGGGAAACAAACAAATTCCCCAAAGTGGGTACTTGCCATTTATCTAAGGAAACAAACAAACAAATTTCTGCAGCCCCGTTGAGAGCAGGATGCAGCACCTGCAAGCCAAGGTCAGCTCGGGAGTCATGTGCTAGCAGAGAAACACGGAAAAGGAAAAAACAGATGTAAAAAAAAAAACTTTCACTACTGCATGGTTCTACTGGCCCGGCCTGCTGCCCCTTAAGCTCTGGGGAGACAGAATCACCCCTCTTTTCGATGGCATTTGTTTTTTCACCACACAGAGCAGCACGTGCATTCCTTCGAAAGAAGTTGGGGTCCTGTAGTTCAGCTTTGGGGACGAAGCGCATACACCACGCGTCCTGTCTCTCTCGGAGAAAGAATACCTGACTGGAGGAAAGAAATGCGGGCCTTTCACTTTTTGTCCTCTACTTTGCTCAGAGCACCAACGAGTTGCTAAAGCACTACTATGCAAAGTCGTAAGACGCACATGCATTGAGCAGCATTTCCTTTGCCATGTTCCTAGAGGCAGCCGTGTCCCGTCGCCGAGGATTCCATGCGTACTCGTAAGTGGCAATGTTTCTTGACGCATTGCCAGTTTTGTCTCTTGGAAAAATTCACTTGATCCGTGCAACTGATGTGTCAATCCGTTAGTCTCCTCTAGCTGACGAATAAGAGTGGTTCAGGCTGCTGTATCAGCCGTCGTTGATCGTTTACGAGTGAATATATGACTTTCGCATTTTTTGTTTGTTTGTTTATATTGCAAGAGCATGACAAATATTGCTATTTTTTCCATTAGGGAGCACTGCAACAAGGACTGCAAAAAGTGTGGATAGCGTGATGCACAGGTCTCGCCGTGCTGAAAGGAAGTCTGGTAAGATGCATGCTTGGTTGCTAAAGCCCTACACAATTTTTCTCGCATTACATTAGGTCGCAAATGGGCTGTAAATGATGACTGAAAATATCTGCCTGGTTCGCCTTGTAGGTAAGATGTGTATTCCTTAATTTATTTGTTGTTAAGTTTGTTTTCTAGCGACATATTACAAGGAAACTGTGTGCTCTGGGGCTTCAAGCACTTTTCAGAATATCAATGCACTGACATAATTATTGTAAGAGCACAGTTTCTGATTTGTCTTTATACCCACAAAGTTGTTTTGCGGAATTGTGCATGCACAGTCGCATGCCAACTATCCATGTAAATATTCTGCCTTTCTCTAAGTATTAATCATTCTGTTTGTTCTTTTCACCTTTTTCCAGCAACAGAACGATGCAAACCTCACATATCGGTGGTAGGACGTCGCACACTGAATACATATTCATGGCCAAGAGCACGAAAATTGACCAAAAAAGAGAACTGATCTAGCAGAAATACCACTCCATCGACTGCATAGTTGGGTTACACAAGGCCTGCTGCAAATTTTTCCATGAGAACAATGTGGCATGAAAACATAGTGCATTTATACAGCTGTGAAATAAACATATAGAGTGAGGAAGCTTACGTTTGTCTTTCTTTTATTGTGTGCTACATACTTACACGCTAACAAGAGCAGACTTTAGAGGCATTTAATTTCAGTCGTACATGTGCACTGAGCCAATGTCATGTGCACAAAAAAAAAAAAAAGCAGAGCAAGAAACATTGGCAGTCGACCTACAGTTGTCAGTAAACCGACGCTTATGCAAAGTCGTGTCATTGCTAAGCCGCATGCGGCTTGCACTCAGGCTCGTCGGCAAACGCGATTGGGCCGGCGTGAGGCCAATGTCAGTCCCCAAGACCGGCGCTACGTTGGTTTCCAAGGTCGGGCCAACCACTTCGCAGTCAGTCACAGACCTCTCGCCGACCTTTTTCCCGAAAACCAATTATTGCTTGGGACTTCACTTTACCTCTATAGTGTGCAATACAAGTACATATAGTATACAACATGTATAGTATACTATAGTGTACTGTACAAGGTTACTCTATCATTTACCTCCTCCCTTGTTCTTTTCATTGTTAAACTCACATTGATCCTTTTCACCCTCACTTCCTTTCCCTTTCTCCTTGCCCTACTATACTACAGATCAATATGCTATGCTTCCAGTTTTCTTTGCACAGCTGGATCGAGTTTTCTACGGTTACTGATATGGCCTTGTCTCAAACTGCAACAACTACACAGAGAAAAAAAAAAAGGGAGCCACGCTACTCACCTTCTTCGAGAAGGCCGGAGAAGATGAGTATGGATGTGTAGACTTTGATGGCCGTAGTCTCCACCTGCGGTTCAGCCATGACCAGGAAGCTCTGAGTGATTGGTGTCTTGCCGAAGGCCCAGTAGGTGTGCTGGTACGACTTGTACCCCTCCGAGCTGTACTCCTGGCGGAGCTTGTCTAAGCGATTCCGGTTGAACCTGCACGGTTCAAAGTGTGTACAGGGGCTTCCGAAGCAAAAAAAAAAGCTCGCATACAATTGAGATCTAAGTCTGGTGGACCAATTACAGCAAGTCCAAGTTGCTAAACTGATAATGCTTCAAAACGGGTAATTCTTTGAACTGTGACTTGCCCGTGTTTTAGGAAGTATCACAATTCTAACGGCTCAAAAAATCTGTAATAATTGGCACACTGCGCTACCTTTGAGAAAAGAAAGAAGAAAATAAAAAAACCTATTCACCCTAGACACAGTATTACTGAGAACTAACAGACAATGATGCCAAGAAAAGTATAGGGGATTGTATTAGCAGTAATTGTAATGCAAATGTGTTGAAAGAAAAGTGGACGGAAATATAACTTGTCAATGGCAGGTTGTTATAACGGGGCAAGTTATCTTTTTATTTTTTCATCCGCTTTTTTTTCTTCACATTTACACTACAATTACTTCCAATAACATCCCCTATACTTCACTTAGCATCATTGTCTGTCATTGCCTGTTAGTTCTCAATATGACCGCCTCTAATAAAAAAAATTAGTCCTTAAGTTTCACCTTCTTTGTTTAATTCTCGCTAGAGTTATCTATATATATTATGAAGAGGTCTGCCAGGTCATGCCAGTCAGTCACCTCCCTCGGTGATGATATCTATGTATAACTGGCTAGAAGGATGATAGCACGAGCCAACCAGCTAGTTATTGTTTTTTCTTGCATTGCTTTGTGATTGTCCTGTAATTGGCCCCCTCTGCTGGCGGTGACAGTGAGACGGGTGGATTGTCAGATTACCTCCTCAGGGTGCTCCTGAAAAGTCCGAGCGTGGCCACCTCAGGCTTGTTGAGCAGCCCGCTGTCCACCAGGGTGCGTCGACAGTTCATCACTTCCTGGTGAAGCTTCACCCGGTCTTCGAAAGCCAAGCGGCCCTGTAAGGCACAATCACCAAAAATAGAGAAGGGTAAAAGCAAACGTTGCAGGAACTATCGAGATCCTAGCAAAAGCTTCGAAGTACTCTATATTGCTGGAGACACCAGTAACGACATTTGACGATATAGGCATGGGCAAACGATGCAGACTACAAGCACACCCATGCAAGGTGGACGGCGCAAGAGAGAAATATATTAGTTGTGATAAAAAAAAAGAATACAAAAAGAGGTTATTTTCTGCGTCCCATCGCAGGGGCTTGGCGCAAGGCTGTACAAGGAGGACGGTGCATTCCTTTTGAATGTTCCTTCACTAAGTGGCGTATCGTTTTCATGGCAACAACAATTTGTCGCCGAGCCACAGACATCGTTGTGCCACCACTGCCATCATTACATTGCCAGTGCTACGCATAGCTCTACAAGTTGTGTGTGGGAATGCAGGAGTATTCAGAAGCGTATTTAGACTGAGTGATACCGCAGCAAATTAGCATTTAACACAACTTAAATCATTAAACTGGGCTGACTTTTCTATGAGAATGATCCCTGCACCATTCTGTTCAAGAATAATATCTCAATTGCACTAGTGGGGCTCACCTTGACGCTGAGTTCGTACGACGGCTTCATGCGGGCGGCCAGCGGCGGCCAGTAGCTGGCCACCAACGAGGCCACCTCCTGGTGCTGGGGCGTCTCGAACAGGTAGCATTTGTGCAGGTCTGGCACGCTCTTGGACAGCGTGACGGTGACCAGGCGGTCCTCCTCATTGACCAGCACGGACTCGAGCTCAGAGTAGCGGTACGCATTCAGGATGGCTTTGCTGTCCGCGTTCACCAGGAGCACGCCTTCGCAGCTCACACCGAGCAGCAACTGGTGGTCTGGGCATATCATCGTCATCATAATCAGCCTGACCTATGCCTACTGCAGGGAAAATGACTGTCCCGTGTCTTACCAATCAACCCAGTCCTGTGCTTGCTGCTCCCCCGTTATCTCCGCAAACTGCCTAATCTTACCTTCCCACATAATATTTGGGGATAACATGTCGTTTTCCCATTACTGATGCTTTTTTCATTGTGGGCTTGTCAGCGATCAGCCATATCTGACAACGTAATCTTTTATCAAGGTCATTTGCCGTTTCATGTTGCGACATTACGCTGTTGGCTTTGATTTGCATTTCACTGTTTAATAACGCATGAACGCCATTGTTGCGGGTATCAACAGAATTTCTGGGCTCCTAAGCACATGGGTGAAGGTTCAGTTCCAGGCACGAACAAAAAAAAATAAGTTGAAAGGGAGCATCGCGTATTGAGATAAATACAAAGAAAATTAAAGAAAAGTGGCAGGTCAGGCTCACAGACGCCGCTTGCAACGGCGCAGTCAGGAGGTGGCACATCAAGCTCGTGCAAGCTCCCTCCCCACATTTTTTTCTTTTTTTTTTTTGCCATAATACACAGAGCCCAACATCACACTCAGTCACATCTGGCTCCCTGAGCCCCATTTCAAATCAAGATGGTGCTCCCTCCGAAAGAAATTTCTGCCAACGCCCCTGGCACTTGCCAAATTTTTCTGATGTAGGAAGGGCTATAATTATTTTCAACACGAAAGTGTTTTATGCCCGGGTCACCATGACATCAGTGGAGTATTGCCATCACAGAAATAACATAGAAAATATGTGCGTAATCAAGAAGCAAAGAAGAAAGAGTTCCATAAATGGAAGTCAAACGTACGACCTTTCGGTCTGCGACAACATAAGTCAGCCCTGTTACCAAATACGCCGCATGCTCTAGAAGCTTTGCAAAATGACCTTTTATATCTAACACTCATTTCACGTTAAACAGTGCTATAGTTGGCAAACATCAATAACCATTGCTCAAGCTCTTTCATATCAACCTACAATAAACATTGAACCACTTCTGTGAGGGCATGTTTCACTTTCATGCCATACCGATTCCTATGACGGAGCGTTCACTCGTGTTTTTTTTTTTTTTTAATTGTACTTTCGATAATGTTTCAGCTCCCAAGTTAGGACACTGTACTGACAAAAAAAAAGAAATGGCGGAAGAGCGCACCGTAGTGAGGTAGCCGCGGCATGTGACTGGGAACAAGGCGGTTCCGTAGAGCGGATACTGCATGACGATGGACAGGTACCACACCTTGCACACCAGTTCGGACTTTCCGCTTCCGTACGTCTAAGGGAGAGAAAGAGGGGTCACAGAAATGATTACTCGCTGTTGTCGAAAACACATAGTTTTGGTTTCTGGGCTCAAAATGTCATAGTTCATAATGAATTTATCACGCAATGAACTCTAATGACCTCTAGCTTGTCAATTATATCTGCATGCAGGAAATTCCAATGAAGATTGCACAAGTGCTATCGGGTTACGAATACTTAATTTGGATTCATTTTCTATTTTCGTCTAGTATTTCATAACGCTATGTTATTTTGCAAGAAACTTTCGCTAGAAGAAAGGCTACTGTTTCGTACTTTCTTTTTGTTTTGTTTACAGCTGGCTGATTTACATAATTGCCAGAACAAATAATGTGGAATTAGTATTTTATGAGTAAATGTATCTCCTGACAAGAGATTATTTGCTACATGAAATGTATGTTGGTGTATTTGGGGTGTGCCAAAGTGGTAGTGTGCCAGACTAATAAATCGATAAATTATATGCAGACAAAGAAATTGCAGATTGTGGTATGCCTATGAAGAAAACTACTGATATAACATGTGACTTGAACGAAATAGAATTACTGAGCTATCGTTACATGACTGCAACAGTATCGGTAGTGTAATTAAGCTATTGGTTTAGCGAGTTATCTGTGAAGCTATCTGTAACTAATTTTCCAACATACAAAACTACTTGTTTAAGAAGCTGTTGGTAGGCCTTAAGCTTTGCTTAGGTTGGCCCAAACTGTCGAACTTACTCAAACTCCATCATGAAATATATTTTTCACTTTGGACTCACTTGGACTCAGACTCACTAAACTTTTTCTGAGTCGGACTCACAATCATGAACATTTTCTTCCACCAGGTTTACCAAGACTCAAACTCACTGAAACATTACTCCACCGGACTCACTCAGACTTAGACTCACGGCTCCATCTGAGTCTGAGTAAGTCGACTCATGACTGAGATTGCCGATCTATGAACACACGTAAAACACGCGATATATCTGTATTTGGACACAGTAAAAGGCAGAGTAAGGCTCACTCTATGGGCGGTACACAGAGCCTGGATCCACTCGTTCTCGGGACGCGTGTCCCTGATGCGCTCAGCGATGTAGCTTTCCACGTCCCGATACCTGGAACGTCAAGGATTCGTACGTGCTCAAAATGACACCCCGAAATTAGCTTTGCCCATTTTTGTCTCAGACAGGGACAAAAATGTCAAAATAAGGCATCCACTAAGAACAATCAATACTGACATTATGACGGGACAAAGAAAGTAGGCACTGCAATTTTTTTCTAGTTCTCATGAAACGCCAGAAGGCATATGTTATTCCACAAGTATCAGACGAATTTCACTTATTTACCCCCAGCCCTTCACTCCGCCCCTTAGTCTATAAGTCAAATGAATGAAGAGTGACACGATCCTGCCGATTCTAATGCTATTTTACTGATACTGCTACAATATATTCAATGTTTTTTGTAAGGAAGGCTACCTTAATGCTGCCGATGTTTTCACCCCTTTCCTCTAACTATGTGCCAACATGAACGGACGTGCTTCCGTCATACACTATTGACTGTTACATCCAAGACTGCCACTGTCGCTAATAGTGGTAGTTGTAATACAAATAAACAAACAGGGTTTACCTGTCAAGCTCCTCGATTTCTGATGGCTCACCAACAGAGACCTGAGCTTGCAGGCCAGCCAGCTGCAGAGCTACTCTCTCCACCACAGGGAAACTGTCCGCCTGAAACAATAAGTGCGCGTGCGGGAAGCCTCAGCATTTCGAGGGATCAACGTGTCTCCGATATGAAACACCCAAAATGAATGTGTCAAGCTGTAAATGTCAAATAACACTTTACATAGTAAAAAAAAAGCACTAGTCATTTCCCAAGTCTAAAGTTTTGTATTGTACAAAAGTAAACAAAAAAATGCCTGAGCCGGGTAAGTTGTAACTTGTCAATGATAGATTCCAGCTAGGTTCATCAAGCTCTATTGCTAAGCCTGTAAGAATAATAGGAGCATGTCGAATTCCTGGCTTATGTCAGAACAGTTGACATAATGAGCTTTATGAATTTAATCACACGCTCTTTTGAACACTTAAGAAACTGATGTTTAAACTGAGCTGTCAGTAAGATGATGATTAACATTTGCTATAATGTCCAGTATAATCAGTAAATAAAGAAATTAAGACATCCACTGAGGATGAGTAGTGGCAAATATTACATCTTTTTCTGCAAGAGCGGAGACTCAAATAGCGACTTTTAAGGCACCCTAAAGAAGTGACCCTAGGTCACAAAATATTTGAATAATTGTGACCATTACCAATAGCCAAGCAATAGCTGTGTTTCAGGAACTAGATTTTCTGCGTTTCCATCAATACTATTGGAGCTTTTGGAGAAGTAGTTGCGAATGAAGAGAAAGAGTACATCACTGATAAGAAAATGTGTACTATTTATGAATTTTCTTAGTGTGACAATAAAAACGACCCTTTGTGACGTATTTACCTTGACGACGTCATGAACCGCCTGTGCGTACAGTAGGCTCACTTCGACAGGATCCTGGGGGATCTCGCGCACCGCCTTGAAGAGTCGCTTGCGGAAAACGAAGCGGCACTCGCCTCCCCCGAGGGCCTTCGTGGGGCCCTTCTTCGAGATTGTCGTGTACTTGGTCAACGTTGCCGATGTACGACGGCACCTGTTACGGTAGAGAAAAAGAAAGTCATACAGATATTCAAGTAGGCAATCTTTATGTATCGGTGAGCCACGTGGGTAGCACTCTCTTCAGAGAGACCCTTTGACTAGCATAGCTACATCTCTGACTTTGCTTGCATAGCTACATCTCTGTGCTCAGCGTATCCAGTCATGCAGGGAGGGATACCGTTCCATTCTTACTGACCCTATCTCAGTGGGCAAAGGCATTCCCTGAACAAACACTGGAATTTACAAAGTGATGGGTGTACAGATGGACGGACAGACACGGATGGACAGACGGATGGATGCACAGACGAATGGACGGATGGATGGACACAGGGACGGATGCACACATGCATAGACGGGTGGACGGACACATGGATAAATGGACAGACAGGCTCATAGACGGATGGATGAACGAATGCACAGATGAATGGACAGACGGACACATGTACGGATGTACAGACACGCATGGACGAACGGACGGGCAGATAGATGCATAGCCGGATAGATAAAGGGACGGACACACGGATGAATGGACAGACAGGTGCATAGATGGATGAACAGATGGACACACGGACAGATGGACAGACAGATGCATGGATGGACGGACAGATGCACAGATGGATGGACGGACAGACACACAGACAGACGAACAGACAGATGCATGGACGGATGGACAGATGCACAGACATATGGACGAATGGACCGATGTACAGCAGTCAGACGGGATGGGTACAGCCTATTTTGAACCTATATGGGCACTATGAATGCTCCATGTAACACCTGTGTTTCGGTCCAACGGGAAGCTACAATGACTGCGCCAACTGACATCGTGAGAGCCTAAACGCCTGACCAAACGTACCTGTTGCAGCGCGTCGGTGCACGTCTTTTTGACGCGACATCAAGCCCTCTCCCATATGGATAGAGAGAGCGCGCGGCTTTGCAAACTCACGTGCCCACTCTTTCTATAAGGAGAGGGTGCGGTGCCATATCAAAAAGCCTCGCGCTGACACGCTGTGACGGATACGTGAGGTCAGGTCTTAAGGAACCTTGCTCCTAAAAACCAGCAGACGATGAAGCTAATGAAGGTATAAGGAACATTAATTTTACTGTTTTGAGTGCATTGTAGTAATTGTGATCAAGATGTGAAGAAACTGATGTGGGCATAAAGATTAGACAACTTTTGGTGGCAGTACCGAACCTCCAATCTTAGGATTGTATTTAGAACAAATGCGTGACAATTTAGAGTACGGTGTACTTCTTTGTGTGAGAGCTTTAAGCTGTCTCATGGTTTACCCTTGAGCTAGCATAACCAAGAGTTACTTACACTTTGATATAAGACGGCAGCCGTCTCCTCATCGACTTTATCGGGTACATGCAAACCTAGAATGTAATTCACTGGCTACATTCTTACTCGTAGTCACACAATTTTTTTTTTTGCTAGATGGCATTACGCTAATTATGGTGGCTCGTTTTTTATCACGGTCATTATGTGCTGGTTTTAGGGGCGAAGCTCCTCTTAGTCTAACGTTGTCTTGCGCCAGGCCTAACTGAGAGAAGAGACGAGAGAAAAAAAAAAAGGAAGGCGGTATCTCCCGAACAGTATCTCATAGAAGTACATACAAACTGTAGCTGAGTGGAGATATTCTAGATGGCACTGTACTGCTACTCTCCGATTGGCTGCTGCACGGGCTGTGCCTGGGTGCGCTAGAAAGAAGTGCCTCTCTCAGACTCCTAAATTGTCACCGTATGTGGCAAATCATTGGTGCAGCATGGCACCTCATGCATGCCTTTAAGAAGATGGCTCCCACGTTAAGAGACCGTTTCATTCGCTTGCTGACAGACTTGTCTACATCCCGCGTACGTCAGCAGTCTATGCACACAAGCTATGTAACCTGCGCGACACTTACGTTTCCCATTGGTAGATAATGTCTGCGAGGTATTCGAACCCCTTGATGACGTGTTCATGATCAGGTGTGCACTGCAAAAAAAAAGAAGAGCGACACATTGAGGCAGCTTTTCTGTACAGCATAATTGTAGCACAGCGAAGCATACCCAATCTTTCTTCTCCTTTCTTATTTATTTATCGAGATGGCTATTGTTGTTAAGGAGGCATTACTTGATGAGTAATTAACCTAGAGTCTCCACTTGATGTATTATGCCACTGGGAAATGGGATGATGTAGGACGGAGTGAAGGTGGCAAATAATGCTAAGGCAAAACAAAGCTTGTACTAAGTCACACGAAGCTTGGCCCAGTGAAGCCGGTCGATCCTCAGGTCCTGAGGACTAACACTGGTTGCTGCTATATTGTAACTGGTTCTTGCTAGGTTTTGCTATGTTGTAGTTCAATTTTGTCATGTTGTTACTAGGCTTTTGTTGGAAATCGACTATATTCGCTGCGCCGAGCTTTGTGCAAGTGAGTGCAAGCTTCCCGCATTTTTTATCTCTATTTCTCTCTGTGATTCCTTATGTGTTATGCTTCACTTTCCCCCACCCTTTTCTTTCTCCTCCCCCTCACATCTGTGCTCTTTCCTGTCTCTTGGTTTTTTTCGTCTGCTTGCGCAGCAAGTCTACTTACGCTACCACCTTGCTATACAATACCACACAAGGCTATGGTATGTTCTGTCAGCATGCCTGCAATTCAAGACGCTTGCCATGGGATCATGGGTACGCGGGTTCGAATCCTGCCACCTTGTGAGAAATTTTTTTGCCCGAGATTTTCTCTCTTTCTCATTCTTTTTATCTCTTTCTTCCTGTGGCTATCTTTTGTGGTTTTTCTCACCATCCTCTTGTATACCACCCGTCTGTTGCTCAGTTTCTGTGGCACATTCACGTTCATGACGACGATAATCTTTGGGTCACGACACATTACGTTGAACTATAACAGCTATATACATTGTAACAATACTGATTGTTGGCCTAGTTGGTACTTGCTTACTGACATGATTTGGCCGCAAATAATACACACACAAAGTAAAGAAACACTCAACAACACTTCCAACAAATGATGTACTTAAGCCTGGATTTTTGCCCGGTCTACTTTAGTTGGAAGTGCCGCTTGTGCTTGTCATTGAGTGTTTCTTTACTTTGTGTATATATTATTTGTGGCCAAATCATGTCAGTATGCTATATACATATAGTGGACATAAGAAATGAGGTTTACGGCAACGATATTGAGTCCTTTCGTTTAAGTCACGTACAATGCGTGAAGTAAGATTGCATATCACATGTTTATCCACAACGTCGTATGATCAAGAGTCATGCCCGTTTTCATGCAGCCACAGGCACAAAGAAGCCAAGCCACAGTATGCCAACAGTCCCCACAACAGCGTGCACAAAATAATGAAATTGAAAAATCTGTGCCCTCTCCCTTCTTCTCAAAATTTTTGTTTGCTATGGCATACAGAGTGAAAATCACCATTTAAAAGGTGTGCCCTCTCTCCAAAGTGAAAGAGGTGCCCCCCCTAAAAAATTTCTGGCCACAGCCCAGCGAAAGACCAATGCTTAAATGAGCTCAAGTATTCACCTTTTCAATGAAAACAAACGATCACTGCCTAGCACCTAGTATAAGGTTGCTTCGAAACTTTCCCTAAATGCTTTTGTTTGCAGCAGTTGAGCTGTTACATAATCAGATGATGATTTTAGAACAGTTACAGGCTTTCGCGTGAGTGTAGATTTTAAGCATGCCTTTGAGCGCAACAAGAAAGGAACATACACGTCATTCAATACGTCGCTACTGCATCAGATACAAGAACGTATTGCGAGGTCTGAGAATAAAGGCGTTTGCCTGCCATCACGAAGGTCATAACTCAATCATGCTTCATTCGTAAAGTGCTCTAGAACTTACGGGCCTTTGAAAATAAAGATGTGCGCCCGCCATCACGAAGGCCATGACTCAAGTGCGAACTAGAGGATCTCAAAGGCCATGTCATCAGACGTACCTCGTAGAGCGCCCAGCCCTCGAGCGAGCGCAGCCCGATCTTGGTGGCCAGCGTCTTGATGGCGTCCTCGGCCGTGATGGACGGGTGGATGTCGATGGCCTTGGTCCGGCCGTCCATGAAGTAGAAGCGGCACACAAGGTTCTCTCGAAGTCGAACGGCCTGCACCAACATAAGACCGGATAAATCTTTACGTCGTTTCAATCGTGAAGTGTTCAAGTTAACATTGCCCAAGCTTAATGAAAAAAAAAAGAAAAACTGCTATAATGTGCACGACTAAAGACTACTCGTAATGCTGTTTTGGTATCAACAAAATTTCTGTTGACTAATTATTTGACTAATTAGTCAATAATAAAAAATATGTAGGAACAATAATACCTATTCTTCCTGGCATAAAGCATCAACGATGCCAAATTTACACCCTCCAGTAAAAAATTGCGGGATGCGAAATTTCTGAAAAATCTATACGCCGGCCTTGTTTGCATAGACAACCTCGAATAAGTGTTCAAGTCTGTAGCAGCTCCTGCGACCTACGTGGTTATCCGCTAGATTGATAGCTTTATGCACTAGAAATAAGGAAGCAAACTGGAAGGAAATAAGGAAGCAAGCATGACTGTGTTAAACAAAGAAAAGAGATTCAAGATCTCTCTTTTATGCACTGTGTCAAGTCGCTTGTTAAAGCACATATGATTTTTGTGGGCGGTTTTTTGCATTTAGTAACGAATGCGTCTGCAAGCCCAGAAACTCGGACACTGTGTTGAGCTGAGATGCATGAATGTTTACTGCATAAGCAATGGAAGGATCCGAACACTCACATTTATCTCAAGAGTCGACGGCGGCATCTTCCGATTGGTGGCATTCGCCGTACTTAAGTTTTCGAGGCAGTACTGAGCGTAGGCAGCAATCTCGGAATCTTCCATAACGCTCTTCTTCAGGTAGGAGTAGAGGTACTGAGAGATGTAAAAAGGGCAAAAAAAAAAGAACTCGACTTCAGCAATGACCATAGCTATAAATTTCTTTCCTGCGAAAGCAGGACTTTATGCGGTATTCAAATTTGACGTTGTCGGACGCTGTGTATTTCTATTCGGAGAAAACAAAAACAAAAGTGCATCATCATAAAACAGCATGCTGTCATACACCTTGGCGTGAACTGCGAGCTATGGTGTACATTTTTGTCGTACTCGTGATTTGAGCGATAAAGAAACACCAACAATTCTCTCAAGATTAAGAAATAGAATCCATGTAAAGCTGCACACGGACACTCGAATAGCACATGAGGATTTTCGCCTTTAGCGATCGTGATGAATGTATCCTTTCCTTATTAACAACATGACAAGCTTGAGAATGTGAATGGCTGTCATTAGGCTGAAATGGTTAAATGGTACCTATAGTTGTTATGGCAACGCGATCAGGTGCACTAGAAACCCTAGTCGTTTGTTTGACGCTACAACCAGCACAGTCCAGGCATCTGAGTGACGGTTGAGTTGCTAACCTTCGAGAAGGCCTTCGAAGGCCTGAAGGAGACCACGCTGAGCGCGATGAGCAACCACGCCCGAACGGTGGCCTCGTGACTTGGGTTGTTGGTCGACTGGCGCACCAGCTGCACCAGGATCTCGTCACGAAGCTCTTCGCGCTCGATGCCATAGCCAATTATAGTCTGGATGGTGTGCACATCGCCCTCGGGCTTCCCATCAGCACGCAGGTACTTGGTCAGGTCCTGTAACCAGTTATAAGGACCACTCCTAAGAATGCAGGACGCTACACATGTACAAACGGAGACAGACATTATTCGTTCCTTTCTTTCCTTAGTAAGCGATGCATCTTGATTTAAATGACGTGCTGTTGTCCCGTCTTTATTCAGAACAACACTGCGACGACAAATTTCGCTTGGAAAATCCTATAATGGGTATCCAGAAAAAAGAAGTCACACCTGTGCCGCAAAGACGAAACAATGAACGCGATAGCAACAAATTGGAAGGTCACTCTCAGAATGAAAAGCAGATCGCAACGCGTCCCGTCTTTCTCATACACTAATTCTGCACGAAACGTACTCACAAGTACATTTGCGTGCGAATAAGCGTCTCAGTTGTTACTTTGCTCTGCCTGAAATGCATGCACTTTTTGCCAACGGAGACTGCGATGATTGCAGTGATCTTTGTGCACCCACGAACTACAACAGAATCGTTCCAGGTAAAGCCCGAGGCAAGCCAAGATCTACGATTCCCCCACCACGAGATAAGGGCGTGCGAGGGAGCGTCGCCCCCTCCTCTGAGCGGGGCAAAGTATGCGTAGAGGGAGAGAGTGCGTGCTGCCGTGTGATGTGGCAATGCGTGCTCATTGCACAATCTTGCTGGTGATGCTGAAAAACACGATAATTCCTCTCCGAGATGCCCGTCAGCAGCAGTAAGTGGTAGATATAAATAGCCTGTTGTTTGAGCGTTGAAGGATGTGCTCCTCGGTGGCTCAGTGGTTAACACGTCAAACTCACGATACAGAAAACTGAAGTTCAATTCCACGCATTGAAGTCTTTTTCTGGACTTTTTTTCTTTCTTGCATCTTCATATATATAGATAGGTATACATATACGGTGAGTGACGGCAACGCCGACGCTGGTGCCAAAGTCCAGCCGGGAGTGTCCATATAGTTGCAATAAAATGGATCATGGTAATTAGAAAAAAATGCAGAAGGCACGAGTATTAACGTGACTTACAACATATTACAACAAAACTGAAGCGACCATGTTTTACTGATTTAATCCATTATTGGATGGGTGCATGTCCACCTTTGTAGCACTATTAAGAATGGCAAGGTGATACCACTAACGCTCCATGACTCTGATAGTGTAAATTATTAAGGGACTGACTGACAGGCCTGGTCTGGCGGTCCTGATGTGGGAGTCGCCCACTGCGCACTGACGTGCATCTTGCCGGACAACATTTAAATTTTACACCTACCCACCCACCAACCCACAGGAAGCTGCAGTACCATTAACGACTGCCACGAAACTCTTTATACTCTACACAGCAAGCAGTGCGAATGAGGGCCACTGTACCTTGAATATAGAACAGGCTATGGCCACATTCTCCGGGTCGTAGAGGTGCAGGTGGGATGTCGGGATGGCACTGTTGCGGCTGTAGGTGACCATCTCGTACTTAGGCAGCACCTCACCAGACGACTTGCGGCGGCGGGACAGCGTGCGTATCACCGGGCCGCTGCCGAAGTCGCGCAGGTGGGCGTTGAAGTGCCGCTCCGCAAACTCGATCATGTCGTGGTGCTCCGTCTCGGCCTCCCCATCCGCTTCTTCCATAGCAATCAGCTGCTTCTCCACGCGCTGGCGACGCCTGAAACGAGATTGATGATGCCACGTATGTTGTGACGTAGAAGAAGTCCGACAAGAAAAAATGAAGAGATAAACTAAGAAAGCACTCGTAACGCCAGGCATTGAAACCCCACGCAAACCATACCCTTGAATTTCCCTGTGACAATTCAACCTTTCTTTCTCTCAGAAATGGGCACAAACTGACCGCCAACGGGCAAACGACTGTTTCTTCCGTTTCACTATCTACTATACATCTAACCATCCGCCCATCCATCCACATATATATCCATCTAACCGTCCGCCCATCCATCCACATATATATCCATCTAACCGTCTGCTCATCCATCCACATATATATCCATCTACCCATCCGCCAATCCATCCATATATCTATCCATCTACCCGTCCACCCATCCCTCCACATATATATCCATCTACCCGTCCGCCCATCCGCCCACCTGTCTATCCATCCATCTACGTGTCCGCCCATCCGCCCACCTGTCTATCCATCCATCTACCCGTTCGTCCGTCCATCTATCCATCCATCTACCCGTTCACCCGTCTATCTATCTATCCATCTATCGATCCAACTACCCGTTCGTCCGTCCATTTATCTGTCTACCCGTCTGTCTGTCTGTCTGTGTCTTTGAAACCCCACTGAGTTCAACTATTCTATGCACGCCATTCCCTTACCAAACTGGTTCAATTGACTGCAACTAACACAGCTCAGATCTAAACAAGTTTGTGGTACAGACAGGTTGAGGAGAAACCTACCTGAGTTCTCTGTCGGCATCATCGGCGTCCACATGGTTTGTCAATCGTCTTCTATCGTTGTTTGGATGTCTTAGCCGGACGGGAGGTTCCTGAAATGAAAAACGGAAAACGATCGTCAGTTTTATTTTGTTATTTTAATTAAGCAAGCTAGCTCAATTGACTAAGCAGTGTAGAGATGCGTGTGAGTCCCCAGACTGGCTAACGACAAACCAACTTTCGAGACCTGAACAGCTGTCGACATGCACAGGACAAAGCTCCGCACTCTGCATATTTTCCCTACATCGTGCGTTCAGAAAAAATTCTGCCTATTGCGAACGTGCGATTACACTCAGCCTCCACTGACCTCTGGAGGAAGCGTTGTGCAAGGACCGTTGAGTTCATTGGGCACGCTCGGTGACTGGGGCAGGCTGGGAGGTCTGCGCTCCTGGACGAAGCTGGGCGATGGAGGAGGTGGGGGCGAGGGAGACACGATGGGACTGGGAGTGACGGCGACGTCGCCTTGCTGCAGGTCCCCATGTCGAGACCGGACAGATCGGTAGATGCCAGCGAGCAAGCCTGTGAAGTTGAGCATACAAATGCACATTAAGCTCCAAAAAAAACAAAGAGATGCAAGAAAAAGCTAAATATCCCCACTACTTTGGTGGGCAGCCTTGCATTTATAGATATCTGGCCTGTTCTCGAACCCGTTAATACTGTTCAGTTCAAGGCATACAGTCATAAATTGCTGGGAAGTTCGAAGAGCTATCAGACTTTGTGGTCTCTGAATTTTTGATTCGAATAAACATGACAGGAAAGCTGCACTGTAATAGTAAGTGAGATCTCTCGTTTTGATGCAACCAGGGAGTGTCTCTTCGTGCCTGATTCTGACACATGTCTCGTGAAATATAATGACATGAATAATATACTTGTTGGCGTTCCACATCCGAGATGATGATACGGACTACTATGCTGCGTTTAAATAAGAGAAACTACAGGTTAACAAACCTAATTTGGAGGGATGATAGTTTGCTTTAAAGTGTATTTTCAATGGTCGTATAGCATGGTGTAGGCTCTTAGAAGAACACAATTGAAAGCCAAAACTTCAATCGAACTTGAGTCGACCTCGCAACTAGAAAATCACTGCGATGTCACTGTTATTCAAAAATGTTCTCAAATTCGAAACACTTTGTGGCTCAATCCATCGCATTAAGACTAGCTAAGTACTGTCTTTTACGTTTTTTTAAAATATGCTGTAGTTCTTTAACAGCGCCCCAACACCACATGTGCGCGTGCATGCAAGGACTTTATGGCCATAGCCAACTTCATAAAAACTTGCAATTCCACAGCCACTAGTTGACACGAGAACTTACAACGTGGCAGAGCCTCCTGTCCTCAATCCTTACGCATTTTAATGCTCATCAACTTTCAAAATATTAATTATTTTAGAGGAGGTTATTGTAGTAAATAAATAAGTAGTGCAGATGGATCGAGTCACTCATGATAGATTTTTCTCACTGTGTCACGACAAATGTACCCTTTTCTTCGTGGGAAGGGTACATTCCCACCCTTCCCACGCGAACGGTGTAGTATGTTCTTCAATCTTGGAGGCATTTGTTCTGGCAAGCCCAGTTTTCCCTCATCACCCCATGAAGCTCAGCCCCTTTACCAACACGGCAGGGTTCAGGACAGGAAAACCAAAAGGCAGATTCTTAATCTCGTCTTTAACAAATGAAGTTCGCGTTTGGCATACCTCGTGGGCCTCAGCCTCCTGGAGGATGTTGTCGACCTCTTGCGAGATGCCTGTGATGTACTCCTGCGCCTGCGCATGCGGATCATGCACCTCGCTGAGGAAGGAGAACATTTCGTCCAGGTCGACGCACTCGGTCTGTTGCTGATGATGACGGGGCTGAGACGACGATGAGTCAGCCCCCCGCCGCAGCATGTTCTTCTCCACCAGGTTGGAAATGGCGGCCAGCTCTTCCTGGGCGGCACTGCAGAATTGCGTCGTGGATCCCCGAGGCATCGTTTTAGCTCAAGTTTCGAGAGAATTCACGAATGTGGAGGAAGCAAATGACACTACAGGAGGGAAGACATTATGCCATGTGGCTGCAGCCTTTGCAAGAACACTATTTGCGATGCCAGCTTCTCCTTTACCCTTTGTGTATTAAATGCCAAGCATTTATCTATCTTTTCTATCTATCTATCTATCCATCTGTCTGTCTATCTATCCGTCTGTCTGTCTATCTGTCCGTCTGTCTGTCTGTCTGTCCGTCTGTCCGTCTGTCCGTCTATCCGTCTGTCTGTCCATCCGTCCGTCTGTCCGCCCGCCCGCCCGCCCGCCCGCTTGCCCGCCCGCCCGCCCGCCCGCCTGCCTGTCTGCCTGCCTGCCTGCCTGCCTGCCTGCCTGCCTGTCTATCTAGCCACCTACGAATTTCAGCTATCCTGGCCGTTTCAATGATAAGATCTATACCAAAATTTTTATGGCATAACACGACTGTATGACGAGCATAAGTGACTAGTCAGAACATAAAAATCATGACTTGTATGCCATAATGTCATGATTTACATTTCACGACCTTGCTGCTCTTGCAGTAGCTTTGTTTACATGACATATTGCAAAACTGGTATGGTATGACATGACTGCATGGCAAACATAAGAGGCAGAACAAAACATGAAAATCATGACATGCATGTTATGCAAGTCATGACTACATGCCACGCTCATGGTGCACTCGCGATCATTTCGCCAGCTTAATACATAACAAATTTGGTATTACAGGATGCGAACGGATGACCAAGGTATGAGACACGCCCAAGCATGATAATCATGAGATGCATGTCATGTAAGAACGTGGTTACATGCCACGCTCATGATGCACTTGCAGCTGTTTCACTAGCTTCATATATGCCAAATTTGGTGTTACGTGTCGTCAATGGATTACAAAGGTATATGACTGGTGCAAACATGATAAATATGACATGCGTGTCATGCAAGAGTATGTCAACATACCACGCTCGTGATGTGCTCACGGCTGTTCCACTAGCATCACATATACAAAATTTGGTATCATGTGATGTGAATGAACGACGAGGATAAATGACATGTCCAAACATGATAATCATGACATGCATGTTTTGTAAGACATGACTACAAGCTATGCTCATAGCATGCTCATGGCCATTTCGCTAGCTTCACATATACCAAATTTGGTGTCACGTGACTTCAATAGACAACGAAGGTACATGACACGTCCAAACAAGATAATCATAATATGCGTGTCATGTAAAACATGACTGCATGCTACGCTCATAGCATGCTCGCGGCCGTTTAACTAGCTCCACATATACCAAATTTGATATCATGTGACGTGAGTGGATGACGAAGGTAAATGGCACGTCCAAAGATGATAATCATGACATGAAAGTCATGTATGGCATATTTTCCTCCGCCTCGTAACGTAGTGCTGATTTTAAAATGACATATCAACCTTTCTCAACCTTGCTTTGCACATTATCGATTCTCAGTGTATGTGGGATCCGACTTTTTTTTTCTCTGTCAAACACAATTATGGCACAGTCAAGTCACGTTGTTGTGTAAGCATTGCATGAGTTTCATTGCATCATGATTAGTTGAGGACCATATGTTGCTTTAGTAACAGTATATATACAACATGAGCCAACTATTACGATCGGTTTAGCCAAAACTAGTCACAATTTAGCCAAGATTAGCAGTCACTGAGCTATACGTGGTGAACAGTGCACACCATACAACCGACACTGGTCATCCCTCTTCACGAATCGCAGAGACGGAAAGAGTTACAACACCAAGACATGCTTCCACACAAGCAACTGTGTGGCTCGGCAGACTTGACCGCGATAATTTTCTGGACATGTACAATCGAAGTCAGCCAAAACTTGGCAAATTACGCATTGGCGGTGTTTCGAGACAATCAGAGATGAATCATGAGCCTTGGTTGGTATTTTGGGGTACCATTGTGGACATTTTCATATTTCATCATGTTGTCAAATTACACCATTAGCCAACTTTGGTTGGCCAAGGGGCTGCTGCTACACCCCTGATTGGATTAAAATGCCGTCGTTATGAAATTTGACAATAAAGCAAAACCAGTGTTTTGAATAGCATCCGAGAACACTGTCCTATTCCCCACATTGTCAAGATTTTCTGATGATGTTATTTTGAGCCAATGAGGGGTCACAGCAGCACTCTCAGCTAATCGTTGTTTACCAGTGGCAGAATTCGACAATTTCCAGAATAGCACCTCTTATCTACAGCCGATCACACTTGGCCAGATGGCGTGTCACAGTTGACCAAACGGTGCGGCGATAGAAAATGCTAAATGTGAACCAGCGACTCTTGGCTTTCACTGCGCAATGCTCCTTCCTTGTTGTTCCCATCACCCATGGAAACAAAACAGTAGAGCGTAGCGAAAACGTCAAGATGACTGCAGCAAGGAAGAGGAATGTTGGGGGCGACAGTGAATTCTACTGGGCGCAGCATGCTCAAAGCAAGGCTTGGGTGAAAAGGAAACCATAGCAAGAGCGTGATGAGAAGGAAGGGACGTTGGTGGATTAGTCGGTTGTCCACAATACAAGTGGCAGCACACGCCACTTAAATGTACTTAGTTTTTCCGATTATGTAAATTTCTGGTCGTGGCATAACTGCGCAGGCATTGCCTTTCTGAATCTTTATACATCAACAACACTAGTGGAACACAGTAAAGTATGTGCATAGCATAGTACTTAGGGAAATTGTCTCTAGATACCGTTGTCAGCGTCCAGCAACTGTGCAGTGTACAAGTGCCATTGCACGTGCCACGGTACTGGACAAGCCAAAGTTTTCCATTGTAGATCTTCCAAACACGACTTTGCTGTAATATGTTCGCATCTTTCAAGCGAGAAGCGGGTGACGGGGTGAGTGCACAGCTACATGCACATGGGTGTGGAAAGCAAACTACTCTAACGCTGCAGGTGTGGGATTTCAGCGCATGCAGGTACGTGCTGTATATCCGAACATGTTCCCGCCTACTTACCCGTATTCCTGCCTCGTTTGCACACTATTGACAAAGAAATAATGCAAAAGAAGCTCGTCAAAACACTTATTAAGCTGTCCACATGTATAGCACGAGCTTTTTTTACTGTATGAAACTACCAATTCTAGCAGAGTCCAACAATTGAAATAATTCAAGGTTCGTCCCTAGATATGTGGCTGTGGTTTCACTGTGTTTATGATACCACATAATCAATGCTGTTGTTGTAACATCATACTTAACCGAAAATTATGTATCGGCTAGCTCAAGAACTCGCAAGATTCCTCTCCTCGCAGCCCTTATCAGTGGAACAAGCAAGAAATAACACAAGCTACGTCCCAAACACCTGACAAGTCCTTTATAAGCAGCTGAGTTCCACATATTTACACATTTTTCCTACCTAGAAATGCGCAAAAATAATGCTCTCAGCCAAAGCCACAAGCCTGCGAAAGTCAGTTTTCGACAACGGTAACTTTGCTAATACAACAGACTCTCGCTTATTATGTGCGTTTATAAAAAAGTAATCAAGATTTTTCTTCATGATTTTCATTTTATATCCACTGCAAGACTGAAAGCCTTTCCCAATACCCACAATTTTAAACCAACTTGCAGTGTTCCTCATCAAACACAAGTTGTCGTGGAGTATAGTGATGAACTAGAACCAACCCGTCCCATCATATCCCAGCCCGAGATTAACTGGCTCCATTGCTTTCCAACTGCTCTCAGTGGGTAGGACATGAGAGCTGAGACGAGCTATGCAGGTATCAAATGACCTCTGCTGACACCAACTGGTTCCAGTTGAGGCATAGTTGGTTCGAGTATAGCCCTGTTAGAGTACCAGGTAGGTGTGCGATTGGTCCCAGTTGGGGGCCTCAGGCTCATGTGGATCATCCCCATGCCAACTGAGTTCCAGGTTATTTGCGATTAGGCCCAGTAGGATATTGAACGGGACCAACTACAGATCACCTGGTACTCTGGCCCATGTGGTCCGATTACTAGGTGGCCTATGGCCTACGCGACCCATGCGGTCCCAGTAAGGGACTGACTGGATCCACGTAGAGATCGAGAGGTACCATTTACAGCTAACTGAGACCTCATGGGCATCAAATGGTTCCTTTTACAGTCTGACTGGGAGGAACATGTGCATAAAATGGCCCTCATAGGGGTGGGACCACATTGGTAGAAAATGGTCCCAGTAGGAAGTCGATTCGGACTACAGGTGCATCAAGTGGTCTGTTGAGGTAAATTGGGACTCCCCCCAAAGATAAAGCGTTTCTAGTCCATTAGGGTCCATTTAGGTCCATTTAGGTCTATTGCAAAAATAAAAAGGCAAAATCCAGAAAATGCAAATGCTCACCGCATCAGGTCCTCGGCGGAGGCAAGTTGCGCTTCATCCTCGGCAAGCTGAGCTTCGGCTCTCTCGGCCTCAATGCGGCGTCTCTCGAGTTCCTGCTCCTCGCGACGTCGTATCTCGGCCTCGACGCGTCGCATTTCGTGCAGCGCTGCCGCCACTTCGCGCGCAAACATGCCCCGCACGTATGCCTGCATCACAAAGCAGTAGAAGTTCGTCATAATTCCAGAAGATGCTTTGACTGATTGGGAAGGTGCCATGCACAACGTTGCCATGCCTAGAACTTTTCAAAATGTGTAACGAAAGTTTCACTTATTCAACAACAGAATTAAGAAATGACAGATCCTTGAACAACAGCATTGACATATTTGGGGAGGCTAATTGCGCCCTTCAATTCACTTTTGAGTTTCCGGGCAAACATTGCTGAAAGAATAAAGGTGAACTTGTCAGCTAGATGGTTTAACACATGTTAGGAAAACAGCGCGAAAGACCAAAAGAATAAAGCCACACACACAACCACACGAAGCACTAACTAGCAACTGAAGTTTACTGTGGAGAATAAAGTAAATAAATGCATATTCACGTATCAGCCTTTATCAATATATTAAGGAACAGGAAAAAAGAAAGAAAAGATATTAATCGACACCAAAACAAGATAGTTTGAGCACATGGAGACAATGGCTAACATGATTCAGCAGCAGATATGTACTCAATTTCCTTGTTGAATAATAAAACAGAAGGAGTGCTTACACAACCACTTTTTAACAAAGCAATCTTGTGGGTCTCAATTATTTTATGCGTTCGGTGATTCCAGTTTGCGACTAACCCGTCACGTTTACTAAATTCTGGAACTTCAGCTGCTCTCTTTGCAGTGGATACCAAGATGGCCACTGATGGCCTTCATGACATTATACTGGTGTTCACGAAGCCATTCATTCAAACAACTGTCACTCTAGTCCACGTAATCTTTCTGACAAGCCAACGGTATTCTGTACACAACATTGGAAATAAATTAACAAACTGTGCCTCATGTCTCTTGTTACATTGAATTCCGTCATAGGTGTGGTTGTCAACTTTACTGCACAGCCTGACGAGCTTGCTAGGCGAGGTTAAAGTGACTCTTTTATTCGCCCGATGGCCTATATACTTCAAACTATGCGGCACTTTGTGTAAATGGAGTACTGCGGTGGCTTTCTGGGGGCCATTTTGATGCACCTCTTTTGTTGTTCCCTGTGATGTGGCCTTGCTGGAAGCCTCACAGGGAAGAACAGCAGCATTTCGAGTGGTTGTGTGTGTGCCTTAATTGCCCTGGCTTTTCGCGCTGTTTCCCTAGGCATAAAGGTGCCTTTATGACAGTGCTTTAGTCACAGAGCATCACTAAGTTTTCTTCTTGTGAACTTGAGTGTTTATCCATAAAAATATGAACTCAGATATCGTAATCAAGTCTTACTTTTGTGGGAATTGAGGCTAGCCCGCCACCTTTGCGGGGCTTTGCCACCTTTTCTGCCGTTCTCATGTCCCGACATGGCTCCCTTCCTCCACTGTCTGCCGCGCGGGGAGAGCAAAGAGTGACGTTTAAACCCCTTCCACCCTGTAGCGGATGTCGACTGTGGCACTGCGCGCGGTCTCCCGAGAGGTTTTGCGTGCGTGCGTCAGGAGTGAGTCAGAGATTCTCCGGGACAGCTTACGGTGAGCACGCATCCCCTTTTCCGTCCATCGACTCCCGTTGTTTGGGGCTCATCATACTTCGCTGACGGCACCTCCCACCTGAGGTGAACGCTCACCTTTTGTTGCCCCTTTGCGTACCCTCAGACGAAGGGCGGTACTGTGTTCTAGTGCGTGGCCAAGCTATGCCGACCCGTCTCCCTCCGAAGCTAAGGCGAGCACCTTTGCCCTCGCTCGAGCAACCGGGCCTTGGTCCCGGTGTCTCCATGAATTGCTTTTACCTACGAAGACGTGCTCGTGGCACCCTGTGTAGTACTTTTTGCCCGTGGCGTGGATAAGCCCATTTTCTTTCCCGCTGTACGTTTGCTACGGGCTGTACTGCGTTTGGTGTTGCCACAGATAATAAAGTGCTGCGACCTTGAGCAGTATCGTGTTCTCGCCACGGTGATGGTTAACGCGTGCCCTGCGGCTCGCTAAGACCGGGCCAACGCTAGTGGCCATACTCCTTTCGGGATATGTGTCACTACACGTTTCATTAAGCCAAAGGATCCCACAAAAAAGACTTGACAAACACTTAACATTGCTGATGTTGACTATTGTGCACTTGGAATGGCACACGACTGTTTGTCAAGTAAACTTCAAATCCGAATAATTTAACAGGCTCTTACATTCGAATCGATTAATTGAGGAGACACTAACCTGGATCGTTATGGCTGCTCGTCGCATCTGTATAAAGTGGATCATCTGGCGGTGGCCCCTGAAATGTTGCTGAATGCGAATGGCCGCTGCTCTTTGTTGAATGAATGCTGCAACACCAAAAAAAGAAACAGCTCAACATCCATCGTAATAAAGCCCGGTGGAAGTAAAGCTTCCGGATGGAAAGAGGCAGTGTAGAGAGGGCATTTATGGCACTTGTTCAATTAGCGGTGCCCTTTCTATGTATCGGATGTAACAAGAGCCTATGGTGCATTATTCTAGACTATAAGTAGACATATGATGGCCTCGCGATTACTCATCATGTCAGCAGGAGTCATTCAGAAACTCGAGGACACACAATAAATTGATGACTTCAGATTAAATCAACGAGATGTTAAGCTGTTCAACACATTTCTATGGTTTTCATTCACTGAAAACAATCAGTAAAAAACTACAAGAAATTGTTTGCTCGTCGCTTGAAGTTTCGACAAGCGGGGCCTGATCTGCAAAAGCACAAAAGTAGAGCTGTCATTCAGCCTTTCAATCTGCAATTTTCTTGTCTCACACAAAACAGTGCGACCATTTGAAGCGATTATGCTAGCGCTCTCGGCGATTAGCTTACCTCTCCGTAGCCGCCAGCCGCGCCAGGTCTTCTGCACGATAGTGGCCATCTCGCGAAGTAGTTTTCGCCTGGAATCTTCGAGGGGATCGAACACAGAGGTTCGAAGAAATACCTGTCGAGAATGCGCAACAAGGTGCTCATGTTGGAATGAATGGTCAAGATTAGCCATTGGATGACTAATAAGAGAGTGCAAAGGACGGAACGGAATCACTAAAAATTGAGGTTGTCAGCCAATTCATGTGTGGTCATGGGGCTCTATAACGAACAGCGTGAACGCGAGATTAGGGAAGCATTCCAAATTTAACAGCACAATGTTTTTGGTGGTAGTATACCCTTAAATTGGTTTCATAGCTCTGAATTTAAAAATATTTCGGGTCCACTGATGTGACTGGGCCATGATAATGTTTGCTCTCGCATGACCTTTATCACATGTATTCACATTCCTGCTATGTTTTGTGGTTTTTGTGCAGATACATCACATCCAATATATTGCACTTGTTTTGGAATAAACATTGGTTTCAGTCCAGTGCCATGTTTGTGTTTTCTTTTCAATTCGGAGATGATGTGTTTTTATTCATCATTTATCGTGCAGCACAAACCAACCTAATTTAACACATTATTGAAGCCATTAAACATTATCTATGCTACAAAAGAACTGACAGTTTGACAGAGTTGTAAGCATGTACCGGTCGGTTTTAAACATGTATTTCCAGCACACAGCATCCACCAGAAAGGTACGATTGAGATGTGAAGTCGCAACAGTTGTCGTTCCTTTATCCACTTTGGTAGACTCCTCGATACCCATATAGTGTCACTGTATTATAGGCTCTTAAGAAGGGCCGAAATCGTTAACCACCATTCACTCAGCAATGTCTCAAAAATGGTTCTGGTTTTAATGCGAGTGGGTTGCACGTTTTGAAACAAGGAACTTTAAATAAAAGCTAAGTCAGTGAATTCAGAGGTAAATAACAAACAAGCGCCCTCTACGAGAGGTGTACAATGCTAAGTGCACCAGAATGTAGCCTCCACTATTAACTTCGGCAATTTTGCATAATTGCAGGAGGTCATGACATGAATAAAATGATTATAGACACATTCATAATTTTTGCACTTATTTGTGATTTCATGCACAAGATGGCATCGATTAACGATCTGTGTGTGGTGATGTTGAGACACATGCATCGCCTTGACCGTTTTGAGGGTGCTCACGTACCTTGGTCTTTCCGATCTGCCACTCCATTGTGGGCATGTTCAGTCTCTCTAGGATGAAGCGACAGGCCTTGAGGGGTTCCGGCGGGAGCGTGCCCATATGCCTGACTAGGCATCGATACCTCCGGAGAAAGTCATCGATCGTGCTGTGGATCGGGTAACCCTGGAACAGGACAATTACCACAGAGCGTAGACAATCAAAACTTTTAAAAAATCACAGTTTCGCTACTAATGCCAAAGCAATGAATGCGATAGCAACAAACTGTAATGTTATATGAAGAAAGGCTAGAAGGAAACTCTTTCGTATTTGGTCTAGCGTAATTTTCGCAACACGCTGGTCTAAGAGAATGTGGACGCTCCAGGGAGTAAAGCGGCTTTTACGCTACATGTTGCCTCAAAGCAATATAAGAGGTGTAGGCACAGCAAGCGCAAGAGTATACAAGCTCTCTACTGATTGTTAGCGCACACGCATGCGCCGGTCTGATCAAAGCTCGTTGTTTCTGCTCGAGCGACGCAGTCCTCCACGTTACAAGCTTCACTCCACGCTCCTTCACCAGACGGTCCATTCTCTTTCTGAGGAGCCATCGACAGCAGGCCTCACACTTGGGGCGATGTTCTCGCATGTGCCCTTCGTGTGATGCAGACGGCCCGCTCGTTTCATCTCTGCTTCAGCCCCAGCGCTTGCGTGCTGTTGTTCCCTCGTAGAGCACACGATATGAGGGGTGGTGTAATGAATTTGGATTTGATACGGACCATGACGTATGGCAAGAACGCGCTGAGAGTGTCCATATATGAGTTAGGACAAGACTTCCACTGGTGTCAATGTAATTATTAGAGGTAGAATAAGTCTAATTAGTAATGTAATATTATGTTTTTATGCTCAAATGATAATCAGGTTTTATTGAACAATATCACGGGGCTTTGATAAATGCACATTTCTTGAAATTTGCTATGTTCCCTGCAGAGGCCTAGAAGTAAGGAGGGAGGTTAGCAAGAAAGGAAGGATGAAGGATGGATCGCCAGACATACTGATTAGGTCTTGGTCACATTTACGGCACAACAAGAAAAAAAAAGCGGCGGAAAAATGAGTGAAGGTGGTTAAGACATGCGGTGTTACATGCACCTGGCACGGCTTGACGTGCATCTTATACTGGGCACTCAAAACTGTCATGTGTAGTGCTGCAGAGTCATACATTAATTAATATAATCACAGTCAATATAAAGTGGTTACACGTTGCCGTGCTGGCTCACTAAAGAAACAAAACGCACATCCGGTTTGTACCGTTCATGAAATAGCACCGGCTCTTTACCTGCTGCCTGATGCGGATGATGTCCAGCATGCCCAGGTACCGAAGTTGTGTCAAAACCTGTTCGTCGTCATAATTGTTTGCTGTTTTCTGAGTGTTTGGCTTGATACACCGAACATACCTGCAGCGTGACAAAAGCATCATTACCTTCAAAATGCACGCACACGTCATGCTACACAGTTCATTTGAAGTGAATTCAGAGGACAAAAATTGGTCACTATAGGTTCATTTCGATTGAGCATATCAGGCATACTTTAACGAGTGCCTAAGTCTAAGTATGCGTGAAGTTTGTCATTCCTAAGTAGGAATCAAGCCACGGAAATTAGAACTTGAACTCGCAACGTCATGCCTCAGCAGAACATCACAGCCACAGAGCCCTCATGCATGTGGGCGGGTCCACAAAAATAAAAAATTAAAGGCTTACTGATATTACATTGTTCAAAATGTCCATCTCCTCGCCTATACCCAAGAGGAAAGGATGGTTCAGCCTCTCTCTCGCCATATCTTTTTTTAATTTTGCATGCATATATATACATGCACACATACAAACACATGGACAATCATACACAAAGGATACACCCCTCCCTTTTGATGAAAACTTCTGGCTACACTCCTGGTAAAAACAACTGCTTATGTTTAATGCGCTTTCACCAGTGATAAACCAAAAATAATTTAATGCTATAGTATTGAATTCAGTGAGATGGCCAGGGGTTGGCAGACCGAGCCAAGACCCCACTCCCAAAATTTTTTTCACATTGGCATACAAAGCGAAAAGTGACCATTTCAAAAGGGTGCCCTCCTCCCCCCCCAAATAGGTGGCCCTCCTCTCCAAAAAAAATTTCTACCTACTTCCCTGATTGAATGCAACAATTTTTTCGTGCCTCAGCATAGGCAGGAAGTCTAATAATAAGTATAGATGCAATCCCATTCTGCGCAATATATCATGCGCAGAATGTGAATGTGCCGTAGGAATAAAGGACGCAAAACACACAGTATTAATATCTGGGGCTTCACGGGCCAGGATGACGATATGATAGTGAGACAGGCCATAATGAAACGATCCTGAAATTTCAACCACCTGGGGTTTTTAAACATGCACTGACATCGAACAGTACACGGGCCTCTATATGATTTCACCTCTGAAAATATGCGACCGGAATCAAACCTATAGCTGTTGTGTCTGTAGCCGTGCACCGTGACCACTTTACCGCAGCAGCGAACACTGTGCGTCCAAGGCACAAAGAACACTGTTGCAATCACTGCAGTTGCGCAAAACACGTGAATATTTCTAGGCTATCATCAATAAAAGTGCACTAGTCAAAAGCTATTGACGCAAAAAGGTACACATTGCGAAGAATGACCTCACTTTCATACATTTTTACACCCATGCACCCCTATCCGCACATGCCCATGCACACATGTCCATGCACACATGCCCATTCAGCACACAAGCCCATGCAACAATATTATTCTGGGGTTTTACGTTCCAAAACCAAGATGTGATTAAGAACAACACCGTAGTGGAAGGCTCCGTAAATTTCGACCATCTTTAATGTGTTCTTTAAGGTGCACTGACATTGCACAGTAGACAAGCCTCTACCATTTCACTTCCATTGAAATATGATTGCAATGGCCGTGGTCGAATCCGCAATTCCAGCAGCTTTGCACTCTAGCCACTGATTCAGCAAGGCAGACACACGCCCATTCGAAACATGGTGACCCTGTACAGCAGCAAAAGATGCAATAATTCAGGTGACCCATGTACCGCGAGCCCCGTACCATGGAACTGTCGAGTGCAGAAGTTCAACGAGCGCCGTCAGCTGGTAGCGAAAGGCGTCTGCAACGGTGGGCTTGCTTTTGTTCATCGTCTTTGTCATTGTGGTGCCTCCGGCCGCCAGCCGCATCAGCGTCACTTCCAGAAGGTCCTGCAGCATCAAAGGACAGAGGTTTGGCAACGCAACACCACTCATTGACAACTTATTGAAAGGACTTGAGTACAACGTTACTATGACGGGAAACGTACTAAATGGATAAAACATAGAGGTTAAACGTAGCGCTTTTTATGGCGTTTTTAACTTAGAGGTCCAGTATGTTTCGCGCTATTCTAACCTTTCATAGCGTGCCAACAAGACCAAATTTCTTATCTAGAATCCGAATGGTTGATTCCGCATTTATCTTAGTTATGCAAGAACCATTGTAGCACAATCGTCAAAATAAAGCGGTAGCTTACCAATAACATGCAGAGATAACCTGGGAGGCTTGCTGGAGAACGCCCTGCTTGGAAAATGTGGCGTTTAACGCTGCAGCGTTAATAAAATTTATTTCATCATTGTCCTACATTATGGATCACATTACAGTCCTCACGGAGGCATTATTCCATGTACTGGTATTATAATCAGCCCATAATTTCAGTCACCATCATGTAACGGCACTGCCTCTGCCGGATCGATTGATCTTTCATCACAATAAGTCTTTGGCACAAGTGTACAGGTTCGGAGAAGCGTGCGCGCATCTTTGACGCATACGCACTACTCTGAATTTGCTTGAGCCTGCCACCTTCGAGAAGACAGCAGGACTAGTACGGCTGTCTGGACTCGCGCACTGTCGGCCCTGCCTGTGAAATATTGCCTGCTTGCCCGCTTATAGTGTGAAAAAGGAACCCGCACTTGTCTCGAAACGTTTTTGTTTTTTTCGCATTTACTTAGCCAGTGAATGCATCTACATCCTCAAAGGGCCGATTATCGAGTCTGAAATACTCAAGACCCGATTATCCAACAGGGACTATACCTGGAACTTGACGAGGTCCTTGACAAAGGCGTTGGTGGACTTGCGCATGAGCTCGAACAGCTGGTCTTGCTGGGCGTCCTTGTTCTTCTCAAGAAAGCCCTGCGTGGTGTAGACGACGGTGCCCGCGTAGTGGCGGATGCCGAACTCCTGCTCCCAGCGGCGACGGTCGTCGCCGCGCACGTAGTAAGCATGCCCTTCCAGCTCCTGGTGAAGCTTGCTCACGAAGCTGATGTCCGTGCCCTGTCGGGAGAGTGACGTCAGTACGCATCACGTCAAGTACACACTCAAGCCCAACTGTTGTGGTTTAACATCGTAAAACCGTCATATGATCATGAAAGATGCCGTAGAGAACAAACTTTGACCATCTGGTGTTCTTTGACATGCACTAGATAAGGTGCCTCAAGCGTTATAACCTCTATTGTAGATGCAGCCGCTGTGGCCGAGATTCCATCCCGCGATCTGCGGGTCTGTAGTGGATCAGTAAACCAGAATGCTTCGGCGGCAGGTGTTAGGCTGGTGTTGCCCCAGTCTAGACCTGGCTTCAGTTCATACTACATCATTTCCTGCAGCCACAATGTCATGTTTGACACGGCCTTGTCCCTAAAGTCTTCGCATAAAAGGTGGCATCAATTGTAGAAACCCCAGATTGCACCAACCTTGGCAGAGCTGCTATGGGTTGAACTAAAGCCGTTATACCTTTTTTTCGCATGCATATCAGCAGAAAGAACACCAGATCAGGTTTGTTAAGCGTGTTACTTCTGGCACAAAGCTAAACACAGCAAGGAATAAATACAGAGTATTTAGACAGGGGAATGCAAAACCATCGCTGTTCATTGCCGGCAAAGGCTACAAGTAAAAAAAAACTTCCACAGATGCGCAATGGCATGAAAGAGTGACGTAAACATGTCAACACCTAAGCTGCCCATTAAAAGAGGATATCTCAGATTGATCCAATGCAATTGATGTGTCACTGACAAAGCTGCACTGTAAGGAACATGAAACTCTTTTAAAAGTTCCCTCACCATTTGGTCTCTGTTCTTGCCAACAATCCTAACTGGCATGCAGATGCACATGAACAGCTTACGTGTCAACCTGTTGATGTCACACTTTCATGCCATGTATACACTTGTGTGGAAGTTTTCGTTATTTCTAGCCTTTGCAGGCAATAAAGAGTTGGTAGTTTGACAATCTTCTGTCTTTTTTTACGTCTAGCTTTCGGCAACCATCAATATTGATCTGTGTAAAGATGAAGTTGCAGTTGCAGACCACGTAGGCAAGTGCGACACAATCAGTTCTGAGCTCGAGACACTTCAACCTTTTTTATATCTAGAAGCGTCCTCTAGTTGACACTGGTACCAACACGTACATAACATTAACTGCCGGTGGCAAAAGCACCATCTCGGTGCATCAAATGAGTGAACGTGACGTAGGGCTTTAGGCGGGAAACATGCACAGTCTCAGTAGCTGGTGGGGTGGACGAAGTCTTGGGAGTTAGCGGTGAGATCTCATATGTGACTTCGGTAACTCGGCGAAGAACTCGGAAGGCCCGACGTAGCATGGCAGGAGTTTCTCACTCAAGCCAACGCGTTGCAAAGGCAGCCAGAGCAAGACCAGGGAGCCAAAGCCGAAACTCGCAATGCGGTGGTGACTGTCGTAACGGCGCTTTTGGTTGGCCTGAGATGCCAGGAGTCGATGAAGGGCAACGCGACGTGCTGTTGACGCGCGAACAATGGCATCGTGAGCGTAAAACATGGCTGAGTTTGCCTCAACAGGAAGTAGTGAGTCGAGAGGCCAGAGCCGGTCACGGCCATACAACAGATAAAATGGAGAATGACCAGTAATTTCATGACGGGGGGAATTATAGGCAAACATCTTGATTGGTAGCCTGCAGTCCCAATCCAGGTGTTCCTCAGACACAAACATGGATAAATTGTCCATGGGTATACAGTTCAAGTGCTCAGTAAGTGCATTTGTTTGCAGATAATAAGCCATGCTGAACTTGTGAGACATTTACAAGAGCAGAGAAGGTCATCGACAACTTTCGAAAGGAAACATCGACCTCGATCGGTCAGCAGCTGATGCGGGGCACCATGGTGTAAGATGACTTGACGGAGAAGAAAGTCAGCGACATCGGTTGCACAGCTGGTAGGAAGGGCACGTGTAATGGCATAAGGTGTCATATAATCAGTCGCTACAGCCACCCACTTGTTACCCACAGACAACATCAGGAAAGAACCAAGGAGGTCCAGGCCAACACAAAAGAATGGTTCGCTGGGGATAGCTATGGGCTGAAGGTACCCAGCAGGAGAGAGAGAAGGCTTTTTACCGCGTTGACAGAGTTCGCAGGAAGCGACCTAGTGCCGAACCAAGCAGTATAGGCCAAACCAGAAGAAACGTCTGCGCACTTGATCGTAAGTCGATAAACACCCAAATGGCCAGCGGTGGGAGCATCATGTAATTGCGAAAGGATAGTTGCACGCAAATGCTCAGGAACAATGAGGAGCGGTTCAGCACCATGTGGGGTAATATTTCGTCAATATAAAGTACCGTCATACAGAACAAACATACTGCTACGATTCATATTCAAAGAAAAGCGGCGCACAAAAAAGACGGAGACAAAGAAGAGAACCACACACAGCGCTGCTACGATACTGAGGGGAAGCGTGGAAGAAGAGGAGGAAGAGGTTGGCACGAGCGGTGATCGGCCAGATCCCTGGACTCTCGCATGCATCATATCTAGTAAAAAAAGGCACCTCACCGTAACAAGAATGGTGGAAGGTGTGGGGTACAGTGGAGCGATGACAAGCGAACGATCACAGAAGCGCTACCTCAAGAACTACGCCGAAGCCAAACATGTCTTCGCAGGACATCAAAACGCGACAGAGCGCGTCATTGTGAGAAGGTTGTAGGTCAGGCGCTATCATTTTGTTGAATTTCTCGTTAGATGATGTTGTCGGAGCCAAAGGCTGAGCAAACGCATATGGTTGTTCATAGCTTAGTTCACATACTCTGGAGTCGTTCAAAGGAGACAACAGAGCAAGAGATACGCACTCAGGAAGAGCTTGTGGTGACGAGCCAAAGTTCAGGAGAGGAAGCCACGCGCGGCTGTTGGCGAGCGTAACGAGGGAGTTAGGGAGAGCTATTTGATGTTCTAGTGTGACAGCGTAAAGTGGAGACACGACGTAAGTACCATTCTGAAGTGGTGGGCACGGCGACATAGAGACATAAGTCACAGCGCCAGGTTGCAGCCGAACAAAGTTAGTGAAGCGAAGTCGAGGCGGGACATATGCGCAGGTGTCGGCACAGCACTGGGGCAGCTCAAGCCTTAGAGTACTGATTGAACAGTCGATAAGTGCAAAATGAACAGTTGGAAAGTCCATTCCGAGGATCACCTCGTGAGGGCACTCGGCAAGTACAGTGAACAGAACTAACGTTAAGCGGTCGGCGATGGTGATACTGGCGGTACACATTCCGATGATGGTAGTTGTGCTGCCGTTGGCTACTTGTAGGACAGGCGATTCAGCGTGCGTTAGCACTTTTCGAAGACGGCTCCGAAGGTCGGCGCGCATGACCGACACCTGAGCTCCAGTGTCGATGAGGGCTTTAACGAGATTAGGCTTTGTTTATGGGCAAGGGTCAACAGAGGTCTTGCAGTCAGAGTCCTCAACGCAGCCTCACCTACCGGGGTTGAATTGGTTAGTTTACCGAAGAACCCCCTGGGTAGAATGGAGACTGGGGTCGCCCAGATGTAGGTGAACAGGACTGATGACGCTGCATAGAGGACGAACAGCTAGTGATGAACCGAGGAGGAGCGGCAGGGTCAGCAAAGGACCATTCGGCGTGAGGCGACAGAGGACGAGCTGGACGTTCGTAGCGACGGTCAGTTATGGTTGAGGTGATGAATTCCAGCGGCTACGGCAGTGGCGAGAGACATGGCCGATTCCGGAGCACGCGTAGCAGATCGGTTTGTCATCTGGCGTTCGCCCCTCAGATGGGTTTCAGTACCGTTTTGAGGAATACTTCTTTAATTTTTTCCGGATGCTACAGAACAATGGAATCTTTTACCCATCATGTTGTTAATAGTACCGATGTGCAATATGTTGACAGAGAAATTGATGCTTATTTTGGTCATGGTTGAATTGAACTACTGCCAATTTTGGTTTCTTGTGTGCATTGCTTTTTGAGTGCCAGTTGTATTAGTTTTCTGTTTGTACGTACTATCGTACTCCCTCCCTGTTATGACCCTCAAACGAGAGTTGAAGTGACAGTGTAATTAAATAAATAAATAAATAAATAAATAAATAAATAAATAAATAAATAAATAAATAAATAAATAAATGAATAAAGTACTGTCGGGGCGTAGCAGAGGCAATGATCGGGGCGGTCGAGGTGGGACGTGGGCTACCGGTGGATGGTATGTCCATATTCACAATTTCTTGGCGAACAACAGCTTGAATGAGCGATATTGTCAAGTTGTCATGCGTGTGGGGACCACAAGAGCTCAGAGCCATAGCGTCAAGTTCGCGACGTAAGGCTTACATCAAACTTGTTAATGCTGGCTGATTCAGCCACGCTGGTTCATTATAGGAGGACGAGGTCGGAGCCATATTAGAAAGCCGATCGAAGCGTTGCACGATGCGCTTGCCTTTTGCTTGCTCAAAAATGTGGCACTCTTTGATGAGGGAGTCAACTGTTGTGCAGCTCTTACACAACAAGAAGTTGAATGCATCGTCAGCAATGCCCTTCATAATGTGTCCGACCTTATCTGCTTTCGGCATGTTGTCATTGACTTTTTGGCAAAGTGCCAGAACATCCTGAATGTAAGAAATGTACGATTTGGTGGAGGTCTGGGCATGAGACGTGACATCCTCATGGACTTCTACTTGGTGTCCGATTGGTTTCCCGAAAAGATCTCGAAGCCTCTCTTTACAGATGTCCCAACTTGTGAGTTCGGCTTTATGCGTCTCAAACCACGCCTTTGCGGTGTCCTCCAGGTAGAATATTGAGTTCGCCAGAAAGTGTTTATACTGTTAGCCCACTTCTGGGCTAACAGTATAAATAAATGAAATGAATGAAATGAAATGAAGTGTTGGGTCCCACCTGTAACTGTTGGTGACACGCTGGTACATCGACAGCCACTCATCAACGTCGACTTTTCCAGTGCCGGTGAAGATTCCTGGGTCACATAGCGGAAGCATGACGTAATGCACTGGTGCCCGAGCGACCGGTACACTGTCGTTAGCCATAGCAGCGGAACCGATGTGACGTTTGCTGTGGAGATTCAGCTTCGACTTCCGTAAAGACGCACCCAGCACCTTCCCCAAAATGATACGTGTAGAGATGAAGTTGTAGTTGCAGACACCGTAGGCAAGTGCAACACAATTGGTTCTGAGCCCGAGACACTTCAACCTCTTCTATATCTAGAAGCATCCTCAATTGTACACTGGCACCAATATGTATGTAACAATATGTTGAGAAACTGCACGAAACAACTCGTAAGTTATTCCAAATCAGGTTGTACTGGTGGTTATTTATCATGGACGATTGATAACGGCACTTTTGAGAGCACAGAGACTTAACGACATGAAGTGCATTGTGCACAAATCAGTGAGCTTCAATATCAGTTTTAAATCACTTAGTTCCATATTTCACTGTGGCATTACCTTAGGAAAGCTGATACATCAATGTGAATCAATGTCAAAAGAAAAACGCTGAGCAATGCAATTTTTACCTTGGGCATGCGGCATTCTTCTACGAGGAGCTTCAAAATGCACTTTGGTGGCTGTAAAGAAAAAAAAAAAGGGAGTATCAGCTCAGCGAAACCTAACATCTGGCTAATTTAATTGAGGTTTCATATCCTGTTGATCTTTTTTTACTATTTTTAAATAATAAAAAAAGCAATTCACCTCACCTTTTCGATCAATTCTAGACAGGCAGTGTTGTCAGTGAAATGTATGTGAGAATACTGGATGTCCTCTTGGCGGTACTGCAAACACGAAGAGAAAGTACAGAACAATGAAGTGACTGCTTTCCATCAAAGTATTCTGCAAAAATGCAATTGGCGCATGTCCACCAGTCTACTTGCCATTTCTTGCTCCAGGGCGAAAACGTAGTGATTGAAGAACTTGTGGAGCTTTTCATTCGTGTAGTTGATGCACAGTTGCTCGAAGCTGTTCACCTACAGAAAAAATATGGCAGAAACAAGGCCCAGAAAGGGAGATGGTCATGACCCCAGCCAGAAATGCCGTTATTTTTCCAACATCTAAAGCTTGAACAATGCGGTACATTTGACATGTTAATTCACAGTAACGTTAGCATAAAATTACAGTAAACTACATGGCGATATCGTTCAAAAGCCACTGCAAGCAAAAGTGCGCCTGCCGCCGTCATGTCACGTATAAAGCGAAAATATGACACGATTATATCCGGCCCCACCTGCATTAGGCTGAGGGCGAAGGGGAAAGTTCGCAAGGATGAGCTGCGAGGAATGGTGATACAGATCCTTCGCTGTCAATGCTTCCGCGATGGACTGCCCTAGCTATCCACGCTGGCTGAGTGCACATCCAGGGATCAAACCTGCCTCCTAGAGATTCGCAGAACTGCAGCTAATCTGACAGCCAAGCACTCAAAATGCAATCTTATTCTTGCAGAACAAATGCACTAGAGTGATTGAACGTTGGTTGAAATGTGCATTTTCCTTCAAGAAATGTACGTCACCTAGTGGCTGAGGTGGGGTACCACAACTTTCACAATACTGTGTTGACTTCAGGCATCTTTGTTTACCCCGTCAGATCATCGTAGAAGCATGCAATCGTATTTATTAGTGCAAGTAAACTTACCCCGAAGTTTTCGAATCCAAAGATGTCTAGGACGCCCAGGAACCTGTTGCTGTCTCGTCCAGGACTCGTGCACATGTTGATGTAGTTTACGATCCAGGCGAACGTCCTTGAGTACAATGCCTTGGCCATAGCATGGCGGTTTTGTTGGGCCTGAACCACATTGCATGCATCATATGGTGGGAGGTAAGATTATCTCCATTGTAGTGCGCGAGACGACCTTCGCTCAACAATGTTGGAATGCTGCGTCTCCAAGCTCATGCGAGGAACAATCAAAATTGCGGGTTTACTTGTAGGTCCTTGTACCTATAGTTATTTCTCTAGATTTATGTGGGTCAATCGCTAACTTCCCAAGCAAGAATTTTTACCTTTTATTCTTGAACTATCGATCAGAGCATTGGCTAAATTGGTGACAGTTTGTAAATATACGAAGTTATATAAAAGAGTCATGGATAAACTTTATACGCCTTTAGGGGAATTACTATACAATTTAATACAGATTGCAGTAAAGCAAGACCCTCTAGCGATCGAGATAGATAGACAGATAGATAGATAGATAGATAGATAGATAGATAGATAGATAGATAGATAGATAGATAGATAGATAGATAGATAGATAGATAGATATATTGAATCGAGGCTAGCCCGCCGCCTTTGTGCAGGCTTTGCCGCCTCTTTCTTCCTTCTCATGTCCCGACATGACTCCGCTCTTCCGCAGTCTGTCGCGCTGGGGGATCGGGGAGTGACGTTTATCCCCTCTCACCCTGTAGCGGATGTCGACTGTGGCGCCGTGCGCGGAGTCTCTCTGGACGTTTCGCGCGCGCGTCGGGAGTGAGTCAGATTTTTGCAAGACAGCTGAAAGGAGCACGCGTTTATTTTCGGTCCGTCGACTCCTATTTTTCAGTGCTCGTCGAACTTCGCCAACGGCGCCTTGCGCCCGCGGCGAATGCTCCCCTTTTGTTGCCTCTTACGAACACTAGGCCGAAGAGCGGTGCGGTGACCTAGTGGGTGTTCCGACTACGCCGACTCCGTATCTCTCCTGAAGCCAACGCGAGTGTACTTTTGCCCTCGCTCGAGTGACCGAGCCTTTTTGTCCCGGTGTGCCCGTGAATCAGCCTTTGCCCACAGAGACGTGCTCGCGGCACCCTGTGTAGCACTTCTTGCCCGGGGCGTGGATAAGCCCATTTGCTTTCCCACCGCCGCTGTCGCAACGGGCTCTGTACTGCATTTTTTCGTGTTGCCGCAGGCAATAATGTTGCGACCTTGAGCATTACCGTGTTCTCAGCACGGCGACGGTTAACGCGTGTCCTGCGGCTCGCTAAAACCAAACACACGCTAGTGGCCGTAATCTTTCGGGATAGATACGTGTACACTACACTGATGCCTAACGTGGTGCTCAAACCCACGACCGTGTGATTTAGAGTCTCAATGCTCTACCGACTGAGCTATCCAGGCATACATACTACTGTAAAGACTCAACAGGAGCTTGTGTACTGAGCTCCAACTCTCACCGCATCCTACTTTCGTAGTCATCGGGTCAGAATTCGAGCATAAAGCCTGCGCGGAACTCCTCGAGGGTTGCTACACAGTAACCGGTAAGCCAATACCATCTCGCCGCCGTGTCAGTCAGTGCAGCTGGAACAACACGTTCGAGCACCACCTGATTATCCAAAACAATGGCTCCCTGATAACGTGACAGAGAGTCGAGGCAGTTCGAGCAGTGAGCTGATCACCATATCCGCTGTAGGTAGGCACAGGCAACATAACAGCGGGGTGACCATGTTTCGGAACAACTGAAAGCATTTGCACAGCTCCAAAGAGTGCTTGGATCATCTCCACGGCGTTTTGTAGCAACGTGTGCGTCGTACCAGCTTCGCAGGAAGCCTTTGGTGCGTTAGCGGCACGGTCGAGCGAAGGTGAGCAGTCTCCCAGCTCGATCAGTGGGGCGGTTTCAAGCGGACCACCGCCCTGCACGCCACTCCGAGAGCAAAATAGGCTCTTTGCGGCATTTGCCTGCTGTCGAACATAATACGCAGTTGGTGCGGCTACCGTCAACAATTCAGGCGCCTGTTCAGCGTGCGTTCAAAGTGTCAGTTGCACGGCTGACGGCAGGTGAAAGCCGGTGCAGGCTAAAGCCGGCGCCCCGTCAATTCCGCAGGGAACCAGATGCAAGCGCTGTGCCGACGAACTGTTATGCATTCCAAAGGGTGCATCAGCAGTCGGAGGCGCTTGTGTGTACCATTCGGGTAGAGCAAGGGGCCCATTCCGAAACGAAGCGCCATCTCCAAAGGGAGCGGCTAGGCACCTCGTGTCGTCACCGCAATAAGGGGTGCCGACACGGACGGGTGCCGCAGGATTCCCGTCAATAGAGGCAATGGCATCCTTGTGCAACGCGGCATCCAGGACGGCAGACAGAAACCTCGTAAAGCAGACATGTTGCGACGAGGCTGAATCGCGCAGGTGAACCGACTCGCTAAGAGCAGTCAAAAGCTTAAGGCTTTGGATACCGCGTTGGGCGCCAGTGTAGTGTATATGTATCCTAAAGGATTATGGCCAAGCGTGGGTTTGGTCTTAGCAAGCCTCAGGGAACGCGTTAACCGTCGCCGTGGTGAGAAAACGGTAGTGCTCAAAGTCACGACACTTTATTACTGCGGAAACACCAAAAACGCAGTACAGAGCCTGTTGCAACAGCGGCGGCGGGAAAGAAAATGGCCTTATCCACGCCCCAAGTGAGAAGTGCTACACAGGGTACCGTGAGCACGTCTCCGTGGGCAAAGGTGATTCACGGGAACACAGGGACAAAAGGGCACGATCACTCGAGTGAGGAAAAAATGCGCTCGCGTTGGCTTCGGAAGATATGAGTCGGCAAAGTCTGACCACGCACTAGGACATCGCAGAGCTTTTTGGCCTAGCGTTCGCAAGGGGCAACAAAATGTGAGCGTTCGCCGCGAGCGCAAGGCGCCGTTGACGAAGTCCAACAAGCCCCAAACAATAGGAGTCGTCGGACGGAAAAGAAATGCGTGCTCACCCTCAGCTGTCCCGGAGAAATCTGACTCACTGTTGACCCGCGCGTGCGAAACGTTCCGAGAGACTTCACGCACGGCGCCACAGTCGACATACGCTACCGGGTGAGAGGGGTTAAACATCACTCCCCGCTCTTTCAGCGTGATAGACTGCAGAAGAGGGGAGTCATGTCGGGACATGAGACCGCCGAAAGAGGCGGAAAAGCCCGCGCAAAGCCTCAATTCCCACAAAAAAGATAGATAGATAGATAGATAGATAGATAGATAGATAGGTAGGGTAGGTAGGTAGGGTAGGTAGGGTAGGTAGGGTAGGTAGGGCAGGCGGGCAGGCGGGCGGGCAGGCGGGCGGGCGGGCGGGCGGGCGGGCGGGCGGGCGGGCAGGCAGGCAGGCAGGCAGGCAGGCAGGCAGGCAGGCAGGCAGGCAGGTGGGTAGGTAGGTAGGTAGGTAGGTAGGTAGGTACGTAGGTAGATAGATAGATGCGCCACCTCGTTGTACTTGAGCGGTATCTCGGTGACGTTTCCGCGCACAATGATCTGGCGGTGGAGCGTGACGTAGGTGAGCTCCTCGGGCTGGAATCCCAGGAGGGTGGCCACCGTCATCAGGATCTCCTCGTCGCCCGCGGTGAGAGAGCTGCTTTCTTCGTCGGAGTCGAGGAACTGCAGGTTGCCCAGCCAAAGGATGGCACTAAGCACGCTGAAGATGCCGTCCACCATTTCCTGCGATGAATTTGCAAACGTTTCTCTTCAGGCTGTGTTGACCGTGACGGAATATGCCTTTTTTAATCTTCCAATGATGTCCTGTGTCATTGTTTAAATAACGGCGTTACTGAGAAGACCAAATCACTTTTAACCTATACAAACACATGCGCCACTTAAACATAAAAATTTTCTCGTCTTCTCAGTTGCGCCATTTTCCTAAACAATGCATTTGTATAAACTCGCCCAACTATCGGTCTACTTGCCCTTTACCATTCTGGTAGGTTTCTGGTAGGAGCCAGAACAAACAATATCTCAAGCACGAAAGCCTCGAAGATCAATGGCACCTTGCGGATATTTTTTTTTGTCCTGTGATCAACTTATACCATATCGATAAGGGGCTTCACAAAAATATAGGGAAAGTTGTCGAACATAATTGAACATGTATTCTCTTTGTCCGTCTATGTATAGATACGAGGGATGTGAGAATAATGAAAGTTAGAGCGGAATAGAATACGGATCAAATAGTGATCATACCGAATCAAATACGGACACGCATTGAATACTATTCAAAAAGTTTTCTAATAGTAAGGCAGCCCCCATTCCCAAGACAGACCTAGAATCCTACAACAAAACCCAACTAAAATCAAACATAAAAATTGACCGCCACCGGCGTTAATACGAATGATGAAAAAATCATCACATGACGCCGCCGCCATACGACGCGAGTATGATGTCACACGACGCGACTTCTGACGATGCCATCATCACATGACGACGTCGTTTAGTCAAAGGACCGACCAATCACTCAGGCTGTGGCAAGCAAGCTGAGGTTCATAAGGCTTGCAACGCCACCGATCCCGGAGGCAATGCCAGGTGCAGAAAGCTTTCGGAGAGGGGCGGCCATCAATACATCCAATGAAATAAAAGCGAAGAAAGCTTTCACCTTATTAGTGGTTTTAGGCGAATGCTTATATGGGACCACGTGCGTTTTTGTTATCTACTATGCTAGTTAAGGTGTGCCTTTGTATAGAACTCCTAATCAAGATAGCACCAGCATTCTAGTTGCTCTGCTCTTGCAGTCCCAAACTCTGTTTGGTGCTGGCAAAGTTAATACAGACGCACCTGCGGTATGTTGAGCACAGAGATGGCCAGCCTGAGCGCGTCAAACATGAGCGCATCATCGACGCCAGTCGATGGAGAGGCATCCGCTCTGGCTGAGGTAGGTGTACTGCTCGACGGGGCCGATGGCGAACTGGTCGCGCAGCTCGGCGCTGCGCTGAGCCGCCGCCACCAGCTGGTAGAATATGTGGTAGTTCCGCTCGCCGCTCGACTGGAACGTGATGCGCGACTGCTCCAGCAGGTAGTCCTGGATCATGCACCCCTTGATCTGGAAACGGGCGTCGAAGCACACCTGGATGAACTTGCCGAACCGGCTCGAGTTGTCATTGCGAACCGTCTTTGCATTACCTGCGAGAGACAGGGCGGAGAGCCACGACTGTAGAAGTGACCCGCAGAGGCAGGGGGCAGACAGTTCAAACTAGTTTACAAGAGTAGCCGTTCGGGCGAGTTCGCATGCCATGACGTTCACGTACTCAGTGTTCAACCCAACTCAGACTAAAAGGAAACAAAGGATGGCGAGGACAATGGTCGTCCTTCCTTCTACAAATCCCATGTATCTTTTGACTCCGTATGAGTCGCACTATGTTTACCACTTAGAAATTGAACCATGAAACATGAGGGTGGGACAGTGCGCTCCCCCGCAATAATATAAAGGGTACACCAAGTTTTCTCCGTAACCTGATTCAGTAGCACCTCTCCTATAATTGTTGAATGTGCAGGTCTAAGCAACGCGGCCTTTTCCTGACAATGCGGCCAAGAGCCCATGATGCAGCATTTCTAAGAACTGGTTACTGCCCATCTCTCCTGGAAAGTCAGAAACGGAGGGCAGCTTGTGGTAAGCAGCATATCATTGCCTCCCTTTCATCTTTGCGTCTATTGAGATGCTTCTTTTCGTTGAGGTGCTGCGGTGACAGTTCTGTCCCCAGCCACCTAATGAGAACAGTGCGCACACCTTGTGCAGACAAACGTTCCGGCTTATTACCCAACACTAACGGAGGAGAAATAGACACTAGAAGGAAGGGGACCTGACAAACAGAATTACACAAGGACGACAGTCTGTCACTAAGGGCGGTGTTTCTAGAAGAACACCGTAAGTGTAATCGGCGGTTGTTTCATGTCCGCTGAATAACTCCGATGTAACCGAAACCCAAAACTTCTTTTAAGCTGTTCCCAATAGTGTGGCTAAGACAGCCCTACAAGAATGGCTCTTCCCGTTACAGTGCATTTTCTTCACTCACCGAATGCTTCGAGGATGGTATTAGCTTCCAGGATCTGTTGTTCAATCCACGTGGACACGTTTGTGGTGACGGTGCAAAGATACTGCAATATGAACTTGGTAGTTTCCGTCTGAAAGGGGAAAAATGAGTGTGTAATATAATCAACCCTATGAATTAATTAATTAATTAACGGACAAAATAGACCGTGACACTCATAACAGAAAATACATGCTGAAAGGAATATTTCAAATGTGAAACTTAATTACAGTCAAGTTATACTCAAGAAAACCATACTCAAGATAGCCAGATTCACACGGCTTGCTTCCGATAACCTGACCCCAACCTAAGTCTCTCCACACCACAATCAATTGCATAGAATAAATAATTAAATTAAATGTTAGATGGATGAATTGTGTATTCGGATGTCACTTGAAGGATAAGAAGTGGCCCAAAGGCAGTCAGGCGCTAGCGAGGCTAGATGCAGCATTGGTCCAGCATACACCATCTTATTTCCTTCACGCCTACCTTCCCGGCACCGCTCTCGCCGCTGATGACACAGGCCTGGTTGGCCGTCATGTTCTGCAGGCTGTCGTACGCAGACTCGGCGATGGCGAACACGTGGGGCTCGCATTGGCCAATCTTGCGGCCGCTGTACCGGAGCACCCAGTCCTGTGCGGAGGAATAATTCGGGGATGTTGAATCGCAAACGCGAGAGCAAGGCGATAGCATTACCCTTAATGTCGACGTCGTAATTACCTTAAATTATTGCATCCTACACTAGTTCACCCTCAACTAGCATTATTACGTTCAATTAACTTGGTAGCCAGCACTAGCTAAGACTACGCCATAGCAAAAATTATGCAGTTACTATTTACTACCTTTAACAAACTCTACAGTTACCTTCACTAGTGGTAATACCTTGGTAACCGACATTAGCCAGTGTTGATTATGCAAGTTTACAGGGTAAGTTTCAAACACATACACTTATCCCACTATTACTCTCGTGGTACTAACGACAATTAAAATGATGGCAATAACTATTAATGATTGTGACTTTGAATGTGTAATAGTAGCCAGTGGGTTCAATAATTTGACGTGAAAAGAAAAAAATCCTTTAGGCCCGACTTGGAACATGAAACTCACACCATGAGACACAAGGCACATGCAATAAGAAAATAGAATGCGTAAACTGATGTACACAATGCTATCACAGATATTACTGACTGTTGTATCGGTAAAATGATTTCCAGCATAAGCGTGCCACTCACCGTGTCATAAATGCTGAGCTCCTTGTAAGGGTTGACGGCAATCAGGATGGTGCCCGTGTAAGTCTGAGCCAATCTGGTTAAGGGTCTTACGTGCAATGCAGAGTAGGGCATACAGACGAAGAATCAGAAGCCCTTCCCCTGTCGGGAACGTGGAGGCAGGAAGGGGGGTAGCCAAGAGGTGGCACACCAGAAAGGAGCCCCCCCCCCCCCCTCCGAAATATTTCGCCATAGCATACAGAGCGAAAATTGGCCATTTTGAGGGGGCACTCCTACCGAAATCAAGGTGGTGACCCCCTTCCACCCCGAAACAAATTTCTGGCTATGCGCCTGGGGCAGGTGAAGCTTCGCATCACCGTCCGTCCGTCCGTCCGTCCGTCCGTCCGTCCGTCCGTCCGTCCATCTATCTATCTATCTATCTATCTATCTATCTATCTATCTATCTATCTATCTATCTATCTATCTATCTATCTATCTAATCCCCTAATCTGATCTAATAAGAAAGAAAATCGCAGCGTATCCACAGAGTGAATGATAATGAGTGGGGTGAAGCGTCCATCGGTCCGACCATGCTATCGTCCGTTCATTCGTTCTCGCTTCCGTCCGCCCGTGCTTCTGTCTGTCTGTGCGTCCGTCCGTCTGTCCGTCCGTGCGTGCGCGCGTCTGTCTGTCTGTCTGTCCATCCGTCCGTCCGTCCGTCAACCAAGTGAACACTCCAAGTACCGCCATCTCACATCTTTTCATCATATATTCATCATATACAAGTACCGCCATCCAGCGGACATCCCAAGTACTATACGAAAGGTGGCTACCCACTACTACTACTGCTTTATACATCGGGGACGCACGACCCACGGCTTAAGGAGCTTCGCCCCTAAAAGAAGCGTCGCAACGAAGAATGCTGCTTGACCGCTGGCTCGAAGGAATCAAATCCCGGCTGCAGGGGCCGCATTTCTATTGAGACAAAATTGTGGAGGCTTATATGCGTGCACGTGCAATTCCAGGTGGTCGAAACTTTCCAAGGCATCCGTTACGGCGTCTCACACAATCACGTCGTGGTTCTCGGACATGAAATTCCAACAGTCATGAGGCACTTGGGAGCGGGGGGGGGGGGGGAGACACGCACCCGTACCCCACCCCCGTGTGCACGCAAATAATGAACATTTGTGAAATGAGGCGGAAATGGCGGTATCAGTCGCACTATCATCGCCATCACTAGACGAACAAGCAGAGAACAGTCTGTAGAAGAAGACAGGGAAGAGGACAATCGTCAGACGGGGTTGGGGAGGGCGCCACGACGGGCTGCCGGCCGCACCCAGCGGAGAGCGCGAAGCGCCACCGTGCCTCCGCGGCCGCAGCGGGTCGGCCTTGCTCGCCAGACGGGAAGACCATGAGTCGGGCCCTGCTCCACGGGCGCGCCGACCCGGGGTTCCCAGTCCAGGGCGGGGACCAACAAGACCAGCAACCACCGCCGCTTGACCAGGAACTGCTCGAGTGCCTCCGCGAGCAGTTGCCCCGCAGGGCACGCCGCGGTGACGACTTCGCGCCGGAGGTTGTGCCTCGAGTTTGTGCGCAGCATCACCGAGGTGCAGGGAGACGACATGAAGGAGCAACCGCGACGGAGCCAGAGGCGAGTGAATGTTCAACCGAGGAGTCATGAAGGCCCTCTTTAGCACGCGCCAGTTCGATAAGGTGAGCTCGGATACCGGGCGGCGACGATCGGTGCTGTTCACCTGTACCAGTACTTCATCCAATCAACATGTGCTGAAATGGGCATTTCAATAGGTGGCGTCCTACAGGGTACCTTCCTAATCCTAGCATAACCACCTCAGTCACTCTTGTGGGGCAAAAAAAAAAAATGGTATGTATACGGCCAGAGGTGCATACTGAAGCTAATGAATAATACCCCGAGCGAATAATACAGACAGCCAGGAGTTGACGTCTTTTCCAGAACCAGACCAGAAAGCAACGTTCTCTTATTCCTTCTAAGCGAGTCTTTCTAAGCGAGTCCATGCCACAGCGGATGGCTCATACACTTTTGACATGGAATATTATTCCCTCTTCCCGAGAAGCATCGTCTGGATGCTGGTTATGAGCGCGAAAAAATGGAAAGAAAACACGTCACTATATAAGCTGTGTCGTAAAACAAAATGAATGTGCCGCCGTCACAGAAGTACTAAATAAAGAAACGAGCTAGGACACAAGACACCGCAGAAAGGAACAGAAAAGTAACAAAAACAAAGAAACTAAGCAGTCACCGCAACAAAAGTCATTCCACGTTCGATTGAAATGTGACAATATGGTGGAGTCCAGCTCGTGGATTAGTGGAGAGAAGGGCTCGTTGCACTATCGACAGTTTCGATGCGGACTTTCGCAAAATATGCTTTGGGTTTTGCTGTTTCGAACTTTCCGGTGTACTTTATGTGATAAACGAACATTCACCGGGAAGACACTGCCATGGTAACGCCATACTACAAGTAGCGGGCAACCGAAAATGCACAGCGGGGAGGGCGAGGCAGCCTTCTTCTTTGGAACCCACTAGCAAGGCATATTTGCTTTTCTTCGCCGCCATGTTGACTAAACGCCATGCTCCCCGGGGACACTTACAGGTGACGCGAGCGCCCAAAAGCAAGCACATACTTGACACGTCCCTGGAGGCCCTTGACTGCAACCCGGTGCCCGTGCTGCTTCCGCTGGTGGTGAACCCGAGGGGCGCCAGCGACACGGCGGTCGGTGCCAACTCTTCGGGCTCGTGGAACCAGCGTCGCCTGTCCGCCGAGAACAACGTGCGCCGCGTCCGGCTTCCCTCGCAGCAGAGTTCCGAGGGCGACCAGGTGAAGGCCGTGATTGCCGAAGCTCCGAAGGACATTCGACCGCGCCTCGAACCGTCCGCTCAGGTATAAGTTACAACCAACGTAGGGAGGTAACGCGTTCCTTTTTTAGTTAGCGAGTAACGTTATTTAGTTACTTTTTTTCGGTAACGAGTACAACATTGAGAGTAACCTCCTACAAACTGGCCCGATTTTTGCTTCATGCGAGCGCACTCACATTTATGAGTTACATCTCAGCTTAGCGATGCATACCTATCGCTAGCGTAAGTCAATAAACTTTTATAAACGTTGAACAATGCTTCGCTTATGATTGGTATGTGGGATTTAACGTCCCAAAACCACCATATGATTATGAGAGACGCCGTAGTGGAGGGCTCCGGCAATTTCGACCACCTGTGGTTCTTTAACCCGCACTCAAATCTGAGCAGACGGGCCTAGCATTCTCGCCTCCACCGAAAATGCAGCCGCCGCAGCTGGGATTACATTCCACGAACTGCGGATCAGCAGCCGAGTACCTTAGCCACTAGACCACGGCGGGGCAATGCTTCGCTTATCTCGGTTACGACATATATCCGCGGTGATTCTGTCCTACCCTTTGAGCCCCGCACACGTGCACACGGTTTTGTTGTACATGTATTCACGCTGCCGACGTGTTCTAGTCGTTCTAGTGGTTACGAGTTCTAGTGGTTACAGTGCTGGACTGCTGGAATTAAGGTCGGGATCTACTACTGGCCGCGGCGGCCCCATTTCAGTGGAGGCAAAATGCTAGAGGCCCGTATACTTATATTTAGTTACCCGTTAAAGAACCCCATAAGGTCAAAACTTACGAACCTCATAGTCATATAATCGTTTTCGGACGTAAAAATCCCCACAGCATTTATGTATCCCGCCACTTTTCTAACAATACCTTTTCAACTGGCACAGGAATCGTCAGGAGGACTGAACGAGCTCGAGAATTTTATAGAGGAGAGCTCAGTCGCGACTTACGTCGGACGACACATCCTCTCAGGAGAGCACCTGAAAACAACAGCGGTGACACCAGCAGTGCAGAAACGACGGAGACGTCAGAGCAGACGGACGTCGAGGCCGCCTCCGACGTACAGTCGGGCGCCAGCGGTAAGAGTTGGTGTCCCCCCTGGTACCAATCAGGAGCCACCACTTACGATCTTCTCTCTTCAGTCACGTCGTGCCTGGACCCAGTAGTGGACCACGTGGAACCCTTGCATACCATGAGGGACGTGTACCAGAACATCGCACAGGCCTACGACAACGTGTTTACCGACGCACCACCGTTCGACACAGACATGCCGCTGTTCTTGGATGAGAACCCGAAACAGCCGGCTGACAGCTGCTTGTTCTGCTACGACTTCAAGAACAACAAGTACATCAGCCAACACGAGAGGCTTCCGGGCGGCGCATTCGAGCGCTTTGTCCTCATCCAGCCACCATAGCGACGTTGATGAGAAGCAGCGGGAGGCATCGCGGGTGCCAGACGTTCTATGTGGTGATGACTGCCAGTTGCAGTCATCCCACGTCCGCCTCGAAGTTCCAGCAGCAGCCCCTGAACGCCGAGCTGGGCGCCGTAGTTCCACAGTCCAACGTGGCGAGCGGCGGCAGCTCGCTAATACCCAGCATCGATGAGAAGTCATTCATTAACTTCCTTTTTTCCACCATGTCCAACGATAATGCAGGCGAAGACGTGGCGGGAGAACAGCTAGACCCGTTCTACGTTGACCCTAACGTCATGTTCCTCAACGAAAACACAGACACGTTCAACGCTCACGTCAATCCCTCCGTTCTCACCGACTGCAACAACAACGTCTTCAGTTTTCCCGACAGTGCTGTCCGGCTATCAGGAACTAGCCACTTTTCAACAAAACGAGCCACACGTCGAGGTAGCCGACGAAATGCAGGTTTACTCTACGAGGCGCCTATTTTCTGAACCAATCAAGGGCTCAACGTCCGCTCCTGCAACAGAGTCGAGCCATGCCAGGACAATTGCAGCTCTACCTCAGGCGTATCAGTCGGACCTAGGAGAAAAATGTCATATGACAGCGACGCAGGTGTTTCAAGTCGAAGCTCTCTAACATGGCGCCGCAGTTCCTCCGTTCCCTGCCCGAAAAACAGGACTACGTAAAGACAGAGAAGGGACACTCAATCGCTCCATCGTCGAGGATATTCGACGTCTTTTCGACCGAACCTGAGCGCAACTACGACCTGCTCAAATCTTCCCCC